CGGAGCAAGGAGCAGGAGGGGGCGGGGGTGGAGGGGGAGGTGTGCGGGTAGCGGGTAACACACGGGAAGGTCTTGGCGGCGGTGTGGGCAAAGCGGCAGCGGGGGGGAATGCAGAGTGGGACAACTGGGTGTTGACGAGATGCAACAAATTCGTCAACGTGATTTCGAATTGCGACATTTGTGCACGAAGTTGGGCTATTTCAATTGCCTGAGCATCAGTGGTGCTGGGACTGTGTCCTGGCGGCGGCTCAGCAGGCAGAACAGTGCAGCGTGCATCATTCGCACATGACTGACGTAGCTCGGCACTCTCAGCTGCACATGCGCTGTCGGAGCGAGAACTGCAGGAATCCGAATCGGGATGCGAAACAGAGTCGAGGGGAGGCTGCGCATGCTGCAGAGCCGCCGTGGCAGACAACGTCTGCTCAGAGGTCCACGGCGCAAACACGGGCAGCAAATGTTGACCAGCGGCTTGGGCGTCACCATGAAAAGTAAGCGTGCGGTTTGCAGCATGAAATAACACCCCGCATAACAACTGCGGACGACGTCCGAATGCACTGTGACGACGATTGATACGGAGCCATGCTCCCCAGGCGGTTGTGCCTTCAATACGCACTTGTGGCACACCAATACTATTGAAACATCCCTCCGATACTAAGCGGTTGACTCGTTCAACGAACGATTCCAAGGACATGTCAAGAAAACGTGTGAACTGTGTGCGGCCATAGGTCAATGTGTTTGGCAAAACCGTCGGCTCGACGGTGGACTGTACACCAGGTGGCTCACTCGCACAGCGCTGGTGAGCGGCATTGGCGTGGGCAGACCGTCCGGAAGGACGGAAGCACTCAGCACACACTGTGAAACGGCAGTTTTGGCTGCAGTGAAAATATGCTGTTCGGTATGGTATTTGGGCATTGCAGATCCTGCACCTACGTCGAGTTCCACAGGCTGCACTCATGCGTCGTGTGCAAGGGTGTTGGTGCAAATGGGTGGGGTACAGCTCATGGGGGCCGCTAGGAAGCCCAATGTTAGGATTGCCTATACGTGTTTCATTTGCCGCGCGATCCGGTGCCACAATACCGGATCCGGACACAGTGCCGGCTGGGTGCTCATGTGCCGCGTGTGATGTGCAGCGGAGCGTGTCAGCCGCATTGGGCGGAGCATCTGGCACCGCTGCTGCTGTACCAGTTGTACACTCGCCCGTCAAATGTGGTAAAGATGCAGGCCAGCAATGCTCGGACCGGAAAATCGAAACCGCACGGTCTAAATCGGATGCTACCTGTATCCCGGCGTACATTTGCAAAAGCAAATCTTGTAGCAAACTGGGGACATGCCCGTTGCTAGATACCACAACCGGAACTACGCACCGCATTGCTAACCTAGTCTCTGTGGGGTATTGCGCTGCTAGGTGTCGGAGGTGAGCCACGGCTTGCATCTCGTCGTGATTGACCTCACCAGCAATTTCCAACAGTTCCGAATATGCTTGCACTAGGTGCGAAATTTCACACGTTTGACGCGACAAATGCGTGCACAATGTCTGAAACCACGGTATGGTCCCGCACCATCTTTCGGCGGTGGCAGAGTGCAATAGACTTGAGGCATGCAATAGGATGGGACAGTACACGAATGAGTTTGTTGCATCAAAATTGCGAGCTGGCGGCCCGTCAGCGGACAAAACTGTGACAGCATCCCGTCCTGCATCCGGGCATGGGGCATGCGTCTGTTGCAGGTTGTTAATGTACTCGCCGGTGCAGCCAGGCAAGCAGAGCCACGTTCGCGAGTTGTGGGCAAGGTCAACAACAAGTGTGCGCGGACCATCAACGGGGCAACACATAGCTTCCGGGGGATCGGAAGGAGATGGCAACGTTAAGGGGTCCTCCTGCAAAATGGAACGGCCACACAGATTGCAAGACCACTCACCTTGCCACCCAACCTGAATTCGATGCCCTTGGGCGTTCACTTCGAAACGTCGTGTCGGAGCCCACTCTGCCTCACGTGCATGAAGTGGTGCATCAAATGCTGATAAACGGGCACAGCACAATACGAGAACACGCTCTGGCGCGGCTGGCATTCCAGCACAAAAATCGGGCTGCTCATCATCATGTACTGGAAGTGGTTCCCACGTGTTTTGAATGGGGAACCCGGCTTGACGACAAGCGCTTGATAGTGCTTCGTCAGCAGCGGCTCCGGGCCAGGGCGCACGACAGTGCAGGCACTGGGGCCTTTCAGAACGAAGCCGGACCTGCACGGCACATCCTACATGCAGATGCACACCACAGCTGCACGGCCACCTCCATGGCACGTTGGACGGTGGGGAGGTGCAACCAGAGATCACTTCAAGTTGGCATAGTGCGCAGCAGGGGTCATCCGGGCGGCTCGACGAAAACGTGTCTACAGCTGTGGTTGGTGTATGTTCTCGGGCAGTAATCTGCGAAATGGTCCCGGCCGGGGAGGCAAACTCGTAGTCCAAACACTGCATGGTCGGTGGCGTCATGAGTACACGTTGGGTTCGCTCAGGTGTGCAGCTGCGTCTCAGGCGCGGCATGGGAGGCGTACGTGACAGTGATCGTGGCATGAGCGGTTCCCGCCGCAGGTCGAGCAGTGAAAGTGCACCGTATTTATTATCCCGCTCGGTAGCGGAGCACGATCAAAGGCAATGGCTCACAACGTGGGGATTTCCACACTGGCGACGCTAGCCGCAAATACAGTAGTAGTGCCAAGTAAACAACGAACAATCCATTAGCTTTACCAGTTAGCAACCCTAACAAACAAACTGCCATGAACTGCACGTTATCGGACGACTGCTTATTGACGGATGCCACTGAAGCTAGATTGAGCGTGGCTTGATTGGGCTTGAGCCAAAATGGCTCTTGAGCCAAAATGGCTACGGAACTCTTACAGACTGCACTGCATCACTGGCATCGCCGCGGAGAAGCAGACACCCAGGTAGCATCAGGAGTTCTACACTTCAGACGGCGCCCACCCGTGTGACCACAACTGTAGGGCACGTTGACACGAGCATGACGGCTGTTTCGAATCTCCATTGCGAAGCTTCAGAAAACACAAATGGCTCAGGTTCCCCGCGGGCACACGAGCCGTGGGCATCATGCAGACTGGCATTCCGATCGACAGCATCCCGCAGCCTTTTCAACAGTCTGGGCATGGTCGAGTGACCATGGCTTTGCTTGCATTTTACGGAGACTTAACCAGCTGCGCATCGTTCTGCCCCAAGTAAACCTGCCTCCCCCCTCAGCTGCACTTTGAGCTAGCAACACCAGTACTCCAACACACTTGGCATTCTGCATGGTCGTTGCAACCGCCTTGATGGTGGCCTGCGGCGACCGGGGAGGCCTCGGAGCGTCCAGGCATTCCATACACCGACAGAGGCAGCATGGGAGTATCTTTGACGTGCCTTTTCATGTCCACTTTGCTTTCGGCCGTTTGTCTGAACGCCAGTCCGGCCTGAAAGCAATGAGCACCATAAACCAGTGCACCGACAATTCCTTCTTACGACATGTGCAGTCCTGAGGATTTGAGCTCGATGTCGCAGTTCAGTAACATATATCGGTAAAAGCAAGGTGGCGCTGACATACACGCTGACATAGGGAGCATCGCACCCCAACCCGGCGCAGGCTCTCTAGACCTGGCTACGCTCCGCCGGCTCGCTGAGCCAGTATTGATGCGGCAGGGGAGATGTCCTCGCGTATCGACTCCCGTATAGACGGGGTTTATTCATTTGGCTTACGTGGGTTTCTTTTCTTGGTTCTTGCTTGAATTGTCCTGGTTCGACTGGACGGTTGTTTGTTGTAGTTCGGTATACGACGTTACCCCATTACACGGGAGGTGCCGAACACCTTTGTCTGTGGTCTTGAGCTCGGGGCTTTGTGCAGCTTTTGAGGCAACCTAGGCGCATTGTCCTTTTTCAAGCTTATGTGGGGCAACGAAATTGCCCCTAAACGGATCTCTGCTATACCGAGCTCAGCCGTTACGCAGAAATGAAGATTGCCTATGCACCCCTGGCATCATCTACTCCTGGGAGTGGGAAAGCTACTCTGAGTTGGAGTACGGTGCAGACCTGAAGGAGCACAGCTGTCGAGGATCGATTGAGTACCGCAAAAGCTTGATTGAGGTGTACTTGTGGGCATAAACGCTTTGTGTAAGAAACGCTACTGGAATCAGGGCATCCTCTCCAGCATAGTGCAGCTTGATGCAGTCGCCTTCAATGATATGCTCACGTCGCCCTCCGGGGCTCTTGAAGATGTAGTCGTGATTGCGATCTTGCATGTCCGGTTGGGGCTGTGTTTTACATGAGTGCAGTTAGACGGAACCAGATGTTTCAACGGTGCAGGTACCACACATGTGCTGCTGCTCGTTGCTGGTTATTTGGGTGGGCAGTCGGCAAATTTGCATTGTTGAGACATCTGGTACCGCGTATATTTGTGTAGATCCACCGTGTGTGCAGACTCGTGAGTAGACTGGGCCTTGAACAACTCAGTGGGGCCTACGTATTTCGCAGCACGGCACAGGTTTATTTAAATTTTTCAATCTTCAGTATACTTCCTTGCCCCGATTTCTCGGGGTAAGGCGGAGCTGGTTAGATATTGGCCTCACCACAACCAGCGCTGCCACGTTCTGACTCGCGCTGGTGCGGGCAATAACAGACCCAAATGACCCACCAGACCTTTGACCCTCCTTACTCGAGGTGCTGTTTTTGCTGGGCTCTAGGCTTGGTTCTTCGTTGGGGTTTTCGTCGAGAGATGAGGCATCTGGGTCACAGAAGTGGCCGTGACGCATATCAGCCACGTGCAAGTGCAGAAGCGCCTCTGTTTTCGGTGCACTTCTGTCTTGGGAATACATTTGCGTAGAGCGAGGAGAATGGCCACTGGCCATGTCATCACAACTTTGGAGGTCCTTCGCGTCCCTCGAAAACATGCCCGGATGAAGCTCCAGGGCTACGTTGGGATTTGTTTGCACTCTATGGTTATGGGAACTCTTCGTTCCCTTCAATCAGATTCTGTTCTTATGCTTGCTGTGCTTGCCTGCCTGCCTTGCGCGGGGCCATGACGTTTTCGGAGCTCCGCGCCCCACTTACGTCTTAACCCCTCCAGGGGCGGAGACAACGTGGGTGCCCATTCCCTTGCCGGGGGATGCCTTCTCTCTCTCTCTCTCTCTCTCTCTCTCTCTCTCTCTCTCTCTCTCTCTCTCTCTCTCTCTCTCTCTCTCTCTCTCTCTCTCTCTGGTAAACAAATCACCTTCGGACGACCTTTGAGTCGAGCCTGCAAATAGGCACCATCAGCATCAGCAGTTTGACAATCGCCGTCAGGCTGCAAACCGGCATAGCAACCTAGCGCCCGTGATCCTTCAAGCGTGATGGGTCGACCGTGCAATTGGTCTTCCTCCACAAGCCGGCCGTAAATGTCGCGAACGTTGTCCCCGAGTGCGACTATGCGAGCTTTGAATCGGTGCTGGGATTGATCGAGTTCGTAATGCTTGATCCCCAAGATGAGGTTTGCCTGCGCGTACTCCACATCAGGGCCGTACTTGGCCACAGCGGTTTCCCATTCACGTGACTCAGACTCCCAAGTCCGCTTCGACGTGTGGTTTGCCGCCTCTTTGCGGATAGCTTCACGCGCAGCGTTTGTGTCCTACTCTGGATCTCTTCGTTTGACGATCTTGGTGACGCAAGCGAACATCTTCCCCAGCTCAGTTGTCCGCTTGTCCAGCTCCTGTTCAAGCCTAAGTGCTGCAGGCGTTGTGAAAACCGTCCCACCACGGACAACTGTGCTGAGCCCAGATCGATCGCTTTCAAACGTCACCGTGGAGGAAATAGCTGCATTGTCGCGATCATTGGTTGGTTGCTGCGATCTCTCCGAATCAGCGTCCGAACTGTGTATGCCGACTGGCCGCAACTCCGTGCTGGTCCGATTGTGACTGCTGGAGGCCGGCCTGGATCGCTCCGAATCCGCATCTGATGGGTGTGATCCAACCTGGGATGGAGATGAACTTGAGACGGGATTCTGCGCAACATCTGGGCTTTGAGAAGCGCGCTCCGAATCCGCATCCGATGGACGGCAACCCATTTTGACAGCGGAGTTGATGGTGCTAAGCCGGGGCGAGGCGGCACTAGGCCACTATCCATGCTGTCATCGAAATGGGGGCCATAATTGTGTTCGGGAGGCATTTTGCATCAGCGAACAAGCCCACTCGCCAGCGCGGCCTGCGTGGCGAGGCATCCGTATGGCAACGTCCATCGCCTTCATCGTCAGGCGGTGGTCCCATGTCATCATCATCGTGTGCGTCATGCGATGTCGAAAACCTGGAGCTTGACGAATCCATGGAGGAGTCGATGACGCCCCCATCACGGCTGCGTGGAGTGCTTGGGGAATAGTCCATGCTCGTCTCGGGCGAGTCCGGAGGGGGCTGAACGTCAAGGAACGCATGACCACCACATCGAGCGCGAAGGCAGCCGGGACCATCTACATGCCGACGACGACCACCGCCAAGCAAACATCCACGGCAGTGGATGTCGGCATCAGCGGCCCACAAGCCGCAAAGTACACATCGGCCGTCATCTCCAGCAACGGGCGTTGGTTGCAACACCTCCGGTTCGAACAAACGTTGGGCCCAGTATGCCGCATCAGGGTTGTCCATGCCCAGCTCGTGAAATGGCCAGCGCACCTGAGGGGGGAAGCGCGCATCACGTGTGTGCACAATCCGGGACTCGCCCTTCGTCTCGACGTAATGTTCGAAATCCAGGACGTAGTGTGACTGCAAGCGGCTATACCCCAACACCACACCAAGCCGTCCACGAGATGCAAACTTCTCATGTTCCTCTGACAGGTAGTAGCACGCAGAGCCGAATGGACGCAACTTGCTCAAATCATAAAAACGATTGAAGCGCATCTGGTAGGGTGAGTCAGCACCACCTGCACCCGGGCTGCGCGCATACGCAAAGAGGAAGGCCATGAGGCAGAACGTCCAGAAAGCATACGGGACTCCAGACGCAACAACAAGGCAAGCCATGCCTTCCGCAACTGTGCGGTGGAATCGCTCAGCACGGGAATTTGTCTGAGGTCGACGTGGCAAGGAACGTTCGTGTCTGATTTTCCGTTCCTTGAGTTTGGCGGCGAACTCGCCCTGGAACTCGTTACCATTGTCCGTTCGGACTGAAGACACTGACTGGTTCCCATACATGTCGTCGAAAGCGGCAGTGGCTTCGGAAGCCTGCTTGGTGCGCAAAGCACGTGCTGCCGGGCACCGTTGCATCATCATGCGTAATCATGGCATACACCTCCTCATTGATGCTGGGGCGTGTAGGGCCGACAAGATCACATAAAATGCGTTCCCCGTGAACTCGAGCTGTCTGCTTGTCATCTTCGACAGCTTGCTTTTTGCGAGCCGCTGGAGCTCGACACATTTTTGCTTGCAGCACACTTCGCAGGTGGGGTCCTTCGGGTAGTGAGCCAAGCAATGTTGATCCGCAGGCTGCGACTGCGTCGCCAATGCAAGGGGAACCGAAAGGTTAGCGAGCTCTGTCTCACCAAGCGTCAAGCAAAACTCCCGAAACATGTGAGCGAAGAAATCGTTCAAGTTCGTGTCGCTTGCAGCCTCAATCAAGCTTGCCGGACCAGCATCGACTGCGCTCAATAGAAATGGGACGCGATTGACCATGGTGAGCGGCACCACGCTGGAAACACCGTCGCGCCAGAAATGTGGCTGCTCAGACCATGCGGGCCAGTAGAAATGATACCCCAGCTCGGCGCAAGTTTCGCCCATCGACGCCATGTTGATTTTAGAGTCCGGCATCACCATAGCCGAGCGACGCCCGAGATGCGGAACCATGGCGTCCACCATAGCTGTTGGCCGAGCCGTGCCAGCGCCTGTGTCGATATCGCAGTCTGCACGTTGCATAGTCTCCCAAACGGCATCATCGGCATTGTCGCCCATGATGCAGAATTGGCTGGCTCCCGAATCCAGAGCCCATGCCGCACCTGCAAACTGTTGAAGATCGTCAGGCTTGACATCGGCAAGCCACGCGGAGCCACCGAAACGTTTGGTGAGAAACTCCGAAAACTCTTTGGTGAAGACATCTGCCGGAACTGCAGGCCCAGGCCGAGCGCCCATGGACGCTGCCCCCAATCCAGGCGGCGCAGATGCCCCACCGCTTGACGAAGAGGCATTGATCTTCGCCGCGAAGTCCGGTCTGTACGCGGAACTCTTTGGATTCAACCACCACTTTTGTGCTGTGTGTCCGGGCTTCTGACAATGATCACACGGCTTGTCATTGCCTTTCTTTGCTGTTGCCTTTGCCTCCCTGTGATTTGCCGCCCGCTGCTGTGGCAGCAGCGACCTTGGCCGCAGCAGCCTTTTTCTGTGCGTTTCGCCTTTCAATCTCCTCAGAGTGATGTGCAACCAAACCGTTGATGGCATTTACCAAGGCGCCTGGATCCACACAATTGCTGGCATTGAAAACGGCAAAAGTGGCATCCATTTCTTTGATATCCTTGAGCTTGCGCTTCAAAAGCGCAATGCCCCCAGCATTGGTGAGCTTATGCTCGCCGGAACCCATCTGGTGGCGATACAACGAAAAAGATGCCATGTAGCTGTCAAGCTCCGACACTCCAGAACAATTAAGCTATTGAATCTTGGTGTTAGCCTCCGTGGCTAAATGTGTTGACTCATGCAAGTGCCGCTGGTCAACGATGCGGACAGCTTGACGACCACAACCAAACTGTGCACGTGATTGTATAAGCTTGAGAATCTCTGGTCCCTTCTTTCCCTTCTGACATGCGGCAACCACTGCCGCGAAAACATTCACATCTGTTTTGTTCATGTCTACAGACAAGTTTGACGCCAAATCGCCAAAAGAAACAGATTCATCATCAAGCTCTCTGATATAAGCCATGGCAGCAACTGGGTCCGGTGTTACACGCAAGATTTGACTCTTCAAACTGAAGCGCCAGCCCTCATAATCAGAACCAGTTTCTGGCAGATCTTTAATGTAGATGCGCCTTGACGTTGCATCGTCTGTCGCCATGGCACCTTCGAGCTACGGCTGATGACCCTGTGTTGGTCACAGTTCAAGCAATGCACAGCTACACACAGCTTCGACGGAGCAAATGTTTTCACCCGGTCACTTGAGCCAAGGCATTGCCAAGGCAAGTCTGCAAAAGTCATGTCTGATGCAATCCTTCTAGAGTGACTTTGCGTGACATGCGAGGCACGTTCAGTGAGCAAGTACTTAAACTGCCCACACTCGGTATCGAGTGCTGATGCTGCCTGTCGGCCCGAGCACGAGCACGCACTGCTTTCCCACTGCAGCGTGCAGCGACAGTGGCTGCCTTCGTTGGGCGATGGTCGGGGTTGTGGTCGGTAGCTGCAGCTCGGATTTTTGCTACCAGCGTACTTTCCTCGCCAATCGCCAACACCGCCAACGTCGATGGCGAGCTACCTTTGCTTAGCATTGCTTAGCATTGCTCAGCGACGTCCCCGCTGACTCTGCCGACTCCTGCCTCCCGCCTCCCCGGCATCGCCACAGGTGACGTGTTTCGACGCTTCGTTTGCCGAGAGCTGGCGAGAGCCGGCAGCGCCGAGCTTGATGCTGTCACCCGCCTGTTTCAGTGCGAACTATGCAGACCCGCGTCAGTACTGGCAGCTTAGCGGCGGTCGTCTCGAGGCATTGGGATATGAAGTGGACAATCCCGGTGCCAGCATGCCCTGCAACCCACTTGGGTGTCGTGGTGCGAAATGCTTATAATACCTTCAACGCGCGACCATATTTGCCAAGCTATGCGAAAGCGCGCACCTCCACTCACTTGTGGTTGGCAGCGACATGCCGTTCTCGCACTGCGCATTTCCTTACGAGAACGCGTGTTACCTCTGGGTTTGGCTTCGGCCGCTCGCGCCGTCCTGTACTTTCACTCCGGTCCGCATGCCGGAGTTTGGCTTGCAGCAAAACTCGCCGCGCTTGCACCCCACTTGATGCACGTCGCACTAGGTGCCGCCTTCGGTTCGCTCATGGCGCCGCAGGCCAACACGGCTGTGGGGCTGAGGTCGATGCCTTTGGACACCACCACGTCGCCTGCCCCCGCCCGGTTTGCGTGCGTCAACCGGAGGTGATGTTTGTTGTCCTTGAACTGGAGGTCGTAGGCCGCTGGAGCTCCTCCCAGGCCGCCCGGTTCGTTCGGCTCCTCGCTCGCTGCCGGGCCCGTGCCATCCCTCGCCAGTTGCGACCTGCAACCGTCGCAGCATTCACGTCCCGATGGTCTGCCTTGCTCGCCTGTTCTGCCGCCAGTGCGTCGTCTTCCACTTGCCGGCGCTGCCAATGTCGACTAGCCGCCGCTCAGCGAGGTCCTTTCCTCGACTCGCTTCGACGACACCCCGCCCTTGCCAGCCGTCTTCCCCCGCGCCCTTGAACAAACCTTCCCGTGTCCGCAAGCCGGGCCCTGCCGCCGTAGGACGTCGCCTTGGGTCTGGGCTTGCTGCACTGGGACTGCGTCGTGGATTGCCGAAAAGGGTGCGTTGGAAAATAATTCAGAGCTCGCGATAGCAAGCGCCCCAAGCCGGCTGCCGCTTCGCTAGCATCCGTACAGATCGTATAGGCGTCTAGGTCCAGGTAATTACCGACGGTGGGACAACGTTTGTGCGGACGTTAAAAGGTGAGGAAACAAAGAAATTGTTAGCTGTTTCTGCCGCCAAAACCTTTCGGCATCGCATGAACTTCCACTTGCCTTGACTTCGCGAAAACGGTGTGTAGCGGCAGTCTGTGCTGTCCTGCAGAAGCAGCGCGGGCCTCCAGTCGCTGGAACGCACAAGGCTCACCGGTCACCGTTGTATAACTTCAGTGCTGGAGCTTCATGCTCTGCTGTACTGTGATTTGTGATGCAATGAATAGAAATTAAATGTGTTCTCCTGTGCATGCGGACAAATGCTGACCGCAAGGACGGTTGTTTCAAGACTTTTGTTTGTTTGTTAGCGCCGGTGCAAAAGACGGAGCTAGCACGTTGGGTCAGGTCAAAGCCTCGTGTTGCGACACATGGGCATCAGAGGCCACTCAACCATTTCGCTGATGTGCATATGTGTGGAATGACACGTAAGCACTTTATGCTGCTGCCAAACTGTTGGAGTTTGTCCCTTATTAAGCTACGCCGAGCGCCGCATGTATCCAGAGCCAGGCGAAATACCTCAGAAAACCATGTTTGTTTGGGTCTACGCAGCTTCCGAAGTCCATCAAGCCATTGTGGCTGGAACGTCCCATCATGGAAAATACATGTGCGCATGACATCCTCCCGTGGAAGTTGCGCGATGCGCTCCAAAAATAGCAGCTGTCGGCGCCAAGCAATGATAGAAAGTTTCTCAGTGCCAGCTTCTTGTAACTCAGTGTCGTTGTGCATGCGGCTGATGAATGAGTGTGGTATGCCGAGGATGGAACGAAGGCAACGGGCTTGAAAGACATCAATTCTGCGTGAGTCAGATTTACAAAGCGAAATTGTATGAAGGGAATACATCAAGTGGTGAAACCACTCTCGTCGCAAGGCTCGAAAGCAATTGACATATGGCCGAACCGATGCGGTTGATACGTTTGCAGTCAGCGCCTTGCCACCTCGGTGGCGGCAGCTTGTTGTCGGTGAGACACAGCGCCACGAACAGCGAATAATGGTACGATCGCGCCACGTTAAACAAAGCTCAACGCAGTATTTACTTTTGCGGAGAATCGCATGCACCAAGCATGCACCGCGTCCTGCACCGCAGCTCTTCAGGACAATTTAGAACGTAGATACGACTGCATTGGCCGTTTGCCAAGCGTGGTCCGGGCCTGAAATATGTTCCGTGGATATCGTCGTAACGGCCACGAACATGTTTGAGTCACTTGGAAACGCTATTGACGGCATTCCGTGCCAGGTCGGCTAAAGATGGAGGCCTTGAGTTGATATTTTTTTTGCCCGGCTTGCACCACCTTCCGTTTTGCTTTCAGATGCAAGGTTGTGGTGGAAAACGCTTCTGGCATCCCGGAAGGAAGCATTTTGCTTGGCTGACTTGGTTAACACAACAGAGTTCGCATAGTTTCAGGTGGAAGAATTGAAGACAACTTGGCAGGTCCATTCGTGCTGGCAACGTCAGACGGCAGGGCACGCTTTCCACCGACAAGCCAGTGGATCTCACAGCTTTGCGGTATGCATATGTATGCATGGGATATCATGGGGTGATTGACGTGCCATGTGTGAAATTTGTTCCATACTGTACGGCCGCGGCTTTTACATCGCAACCCTTCATCAATGAGGTGCAGTTCGCTCAGACAAGTCTTCTGGATGCGTGTCCGTTCAAAGTGGACATCTTTGCCCCGCTGGGAAGCTCCAGATTGGTTTTGACCTGAGATTGCCAAGCTTGCAGTGTCATGATCCTTTCGATGTGCTGCATGCCCGGAGATGATAAGGTGTTGCGACCAAAAAATGATCGCTACACCGTTAGCTTCGGAGATCATGAGAAGAAGCCCAGCGCTTGAAACTTGTTTCTCGAGTTCTTCAACAAACTGGGCTTGCGGAGCCTTGGCGGTTTGCCGAGGATGAGTTTGGATCTTTTGGTGCAAGGGCTCTCAGCGGCTGGACCCGAGAAGCCACAGCCACACCCTCGCGACTGCGAAGAGTCGCTCCTGGAAGCGTTGTAACATTTCCGAATTGCTCATGACCTCGAGGCTTACAGCACCGCGTGAGGAACTTCTATCTGAGACCGAGGTGGGGTCACCCCTGCACAGACCTTTCGGTTAAGACAACTTGCCAAAGGCATATCTGGAGCGTCACGAGCTGCAACGCTTCATCCAGAACTTGATCACGAGCGCCGGAATTGCAGCTGGAAACTGGTGTTTTTTAGGCTGTGGAATGGTGCAGGGCTATGTAGCATGCATACAGGCAATGTGAATGACGGAAGTATTCTGGTTTGTGCTTTGCTGCTTGTATCGGTGACGTACCTATCGTTTCCGCTTGTAAGGTGTCTTGGCGGACAAGCCTGATGATCCCTATGTGCTTCGGCTACATATTGTTTGTTAAGATTGAATCACGTGCGTGTGATGCTGCGGAAGCGTTTTTTCTTGACTGTTGGTGAGAGGCTTACATGGCACACCACTTGTCCAACGCTCGAGCTATGCTCTCGGAAATATCATCGTTGGCAGTCCGGGCAGCTCAGTTGTTGCAGTAGTTTCGGGTTTTCCAAGGTAAAGGAAATCCCGCGACCACCATCTGTGCAGGTAGATGGGTCTTATGAGAGCATCCGCTAGATCACCAGTGGTTCGATCATTTCTGGGGGAGGCTGCGCAGAGCCACACGAAGCGACCAGCCAAGAAGCCTGCACGACTGGCGTCGTGAGCTCAAGTCAGTTTCTGTTGTCTTTCAGGGAGCAAAGCATTGGCACACTGGCACACTCCACTTAAAGTGCAGATCAAGGCCTCACAAGAAGAGCTTTGGCCATCCTGCGTTCGTCGTGGAAGACTATGACGGGAATCTCCTCACCTTGCGGGAGCTGGAGGCCACGCACTGCCACGCACTGCCTTTGCTTCGGAGCGCGACTGACGCGACTGGCGCGACTCGGGAGGCACGGGACATCGTAGCTCCAGGAGCAGAGTTGAGGCGATTGATCATCGATGACCTCGGAAAGGCAGGGCGAAGAAGAAGCGAAGCAGCATCGATTCAGCATTGCTGGAAGGTTTTCACGTCAAAACGCCTTCCTTCTCCATTGAGCCTTGGCGCGACGATTTGCCGTCCCTTCTCTTCAGTTTTCTGTCCGGTTGTTGAAGCTCCGGCACGGCCAGGAATGAGATTGTTGGGCACTTCATCCCAAATGATGCACGAGCCACCCAGGCTGGCACTCAACACTGCAACCAATCACTAGTATCGTCTCTAACTACTTGTATTGCGGGCGAGCCCAAGAACAGCACCGCGCAGGCAATACAACTTGGCAGCTGGGTGCCTAGCTGCTGCTTAAGGCTGTTTTCCGCACCTGACGATCACGAATTTGGGCCTCATGCGTTGCTGTCACTCAGGCAACGATTGCTTCTACCAAATGCCGCTGGCTGGTCCCAGGTGTGGCTAGCCATGGTCAAGAAGCATCAGTAGTACAGGGTTTTGAGCTTAAAATTGCACGAGACTTAGAACGTGCAGGTCGACGCTGCATTTTGATCCCGAGGCGGTTGTCGACAACTGTAGCATGTGTCTGTATGTCTTGCCGACGGACTGCAGGAAGTTGTGGCCACTTTGGTGACCTGTGGTGGCTTGTGCCCTGGTCTCAATGCAGCGCGGGTCCCAGGGCAGGTGTAGGAGCGCAATTCGTCTTGCAGCTCGGACCTGGCATGATCTGGCACTGCACGTAATCAAAGGTGCTAGAGAGTATGTTGCCAGGAAGTGCTGGAATATGTTGGAAGCCAGCACTCCCGCCAGGTTATACGTGAGTTGGTGATGATGCTCGCGCAGTACGGTGCCGTTGCCTCGACGTCAACTACGCTCCATCTTCGAAGATCGCCAAGCTAAGTTCAGCAGCCACTCCTTCCGAGCCTCCACATGATCAGGTCCGCAAGATTTATGGCATCCGTGGTGGCTACAAGGGGGTGTGGGCCCAATGCCATGCTTTGCGTAGCAGAGCAGCAAGCAGTCAGGCAGCCAGACGTGGAGTGTGTTGTTACGATCTAATTAGAGGAACGAGGAAGACCGCAGAAACTCATCAATCGGGGGTTCAGGGTCAGGAGCACCGTTGAAGGAGAAGGTGCCTTGTGAGGCCTCTAGTGATATGCAGGTTGTAAAAAGTCGTCTCAAGATGCCTGAAGCTCACGAGGATTGTGATTACAATGATCAGACCCGCTAGGGCACCCGAATGCCACAAGAAAGCATCAGAAGGGCTGCGGGCTTAGCAGCCAAGGCCGAATTCAAGTTCCTTTTCCTTCGTCTTGCAAGTCTTGACATGCGGAAACGGCAGCATGTAAGCCTGCCCTGGCGCAGAAGTAATCTGCATGCTCAGTTCATGCAAGTGTTCCAGTGAGCCATGGACGTATTAGATGCCTATACCGCAAGAAGGGGTCTCAAATGGGCATGTTGCAGTTTGGGCAGCTTCCGGCAAGCCAGCGCATGAGTTGAAGGTGGTCAAGCCGGAGACGTGGATGGAGCTGACGCCAGATAATGTGCAGGCACCGTGTCGTCAGATTCAGATCATTGTGAGGATCACACATCAGACAGTATCATGCCTTGACGATGATCTAACGCTGTATGCGAGTGCAAGTGTGTGCATGCGTGTACCGTCCTCGCACACCTGCGTAGAGGGTCACAACTTTCATCCTTCGTTGAGCTGCTCCTAGCCGCAGTCACACAACGGCAGAGCCTGAGCGGTTCTTCGTTCATGAATCACAACACCAATGCTGGCATCGCTGGAGAACCAAACCACAGTGTCTGGAGGCTGCTGGTGTCAAAGACAAGCATGTACTTGGGATCTGTCTCCTGGAGCTTTGCTGCGAAAGCAAGGGATTCATTCATGGGAGTTCCAGGTTCTTGGCTGGAGATGTCCGATCGCAGCTTTGCATCTCATGAACGATTTGCTTCTCAAAGACCAGGTTTGGGGTGAGACAAAAAAAACACCAAATTTGCCATGTGGTTCAGGGCAGGTGGCAGCCATCAGATCTCAGGTTTCGGGTTTGAGGTAGACTTCAAGAGGCCTGGATGCAAAAGGTAGGCCTGACGCTTCGAGTGCCCGTGAGTGAGAGAGAGAGAGAGAGAGAGAGAGGCTGTTGCCTTTCCTTGTCCGAGTGCAAGCAAGAGAGAGAGAGGTGGCCTTTAGTTACAATGCGACAGCAAATCAGCTTTTGGTTTCAGCCTATCAAGTGTTGATGCAGGACATCAACAGCATGGGAGGGCCAGGATCTCAGCGACGTGACACAACGCATGAGCCCACTTACGTCAGCCGTCGATGATGCCAGCAATACGGCTGAGGACCATCCTTGTCAGTGACCGGGGTAACCCAACGGAAGAGGCCACTTGACCTGCACGATAGCGGTAACAGGAAGTAAGTGCTACTGACTGGTTCTTAAGCATGTCCCGAAGATGTAGTCTCCCTACGTCTCCTTTCCTCCTGCCCAGGAACAAGTGCAGGTTCTGATGGACATGGGAGTCCGTGCCGCCCTTGTCTAGAGGGACAGGTCAGCTGTTTCCTTATAAGCATCGGTGCACGCTTGTTTTTATATCTGCGAGGTGCCCATTTCATCATCGGAGGTGATGGCACTCATCGTGGTGCCTTCGACGCTTGGCGTGCAGCAACGGAAGAGCGCCGCGGTGATCCAAACAGACGGTTGTTGAATGTTATTGAGGATTGTGCGGAGCTGGTGAAAGCCAAAGGCTGGAACTGCTCAGTTGCCTGGCAGCTTCAGCGACGGGCACGTGTTGCGACGGCTGACTTCAGCCTCCTGCAGCTGTTAAGGTCATCGGAATTCCGAAGACTATCGACAATGACATCCCCATGCTGGACTGCACGTTTGGTTCTTCAGCGGCCAGTAGAAGGCATAGTTGTAAGCCTGTAAGCAAGGAGAGCAGTTGGGGCGAGCATGAGCTCAGGTTTCGACACTGCCTGCATGGAAGCAGAACGAGCCATCAAAGCTGGATACGTGGAAGCGACTTGCAATGCCAACTGCATTGGCCTCGTCAAGCTGAGCCCTGACTGATCTGACTGCAGACTCCTCTTGCGGCCTTGCAGCTGACGATGCTTGGTTTGTACGTTGTCAGGATGGGCCGGCACTCCGGCTTCATTGCCTTGCATGCCTGCTTGGCAGCACGGAATGCAGACATTGTATTACTCCCGGAGATGCAGATCTGTTGCTTGATCGGAACCGTCCGCTGCAGAAGTGATTGAAGGAAGTCTTGGAGAGCTAGAGCCGCCTTGCAGCCTAGGCTTGGAGAAGGTTTTGCAGCATTGCTTGGAGTTGATGCAGTGGCGGCACCAAGACACGTAGTGAAGTGGTGACTTGGCGGTGCAGAAATGCTTTGAAAATCTGAGGTCCAAGGGTCACTGCGTGATCGTGGTGGCCGAAGGCTGTGGGGACACCCTGCTCAAAAGTTCTGGGGAAGTTGATGGCCGCACTCTCAGACCTCGGGACAGGACGAGTTGCGACAACACTCTGCCCAGCTTCGCATCTGAATTTCGTGTCTCAAGGTACCAAGTGAAGGCATTGAAATATTGAGCATGTTGCCTGAAGCCGCGCCGCAGCATGGCGGCTGACCGTCTCCTTGTCTTCGGCGCATCCATGGTTCCACGCCGACTCGGAGCTCATCCTGGTCCTGGCAGCCTTGGCGGCTGTCGCTCTGCGTCGGCGCCAGCCTGACGCGGCCTCTCGCGACTCAGGCGACGGCCCCGCGCGCGGCACGCGAAGCCTCCGCATGGCAGGCCTCAGCCCCTGGCGCTCGCGCCACACCCCAAGTCCTAGCCCACACTGCGTAATGACATGCCAAGCTGAAGGCAGCAGAGCCGGCTTTATCGGAAGCATTGGCTGCTGAGATTCGGCAGTAGCTGCCAGAGCTTCCTGCCCAGAAGCTTTCGTACACGGGCCAAGACTTTGGCACCCCGTGACTCTCCCAAGCTCTGCCGTGGGTCGCAGTTGTCGACGTTGCAAGACAGAAGCTCTCCGCTGCCGGCAGTTCTTGGTCCTCGCAGGACTTGTCAGGTTTGTTATGGACGCCTGGCAAGTTGAAGAAAGACAATGAACTGGCCATGGCTGCTGCCTTGTTGCAGACCCAGCCATTGATCAAACGGCTTAGCATGCGGAGCCTCAGTAACATGGCCCGGGATCTTGGCACGTCACAAAAGGTGAGCTGACTCATCTTGGGTGCAGCCGCGTCACAGACGTTTTGGCTGGCCGGGTCTACTCGGCAGCCCCAGGGCGTTTCCAATCTGGCCTGGTGGTTTGCGAAGCTCCAGTTCGTCGAGGCACTGTCAACGAATCTGCCTGCCAGAGAGGCCGCCCGGCTGTGTGCTGGATTTCGGCCCCTGGAGCTGACCAGCACTTTGCAGGCGTCCGCCACCCTCGAACTCTATGATCTCCTGCTGTGGGATGCGATGGGCCCGCGCTTTGCATCCAAAGTTCCGGGGTCCGATTCCCAATGCTTGGCCAATGCAGTCTGAGATGCTGCGAAGCCCCTGACATCGGACAAGCTCCTGTCAACAGCCGCTGGAGCTGCCCGGGCGCTGAAGGGCTTGAAACCGCAGGAGCCGTGCAGCTTTTCTCGGGCCTTTGGGAAATCCCAGCTTGCAGAGCAGACCTCGCTGAAGATGGCTGCCACCCTCTGCTTGACCAATCTCAAGAGGCTCAACCTGCGGGCCTTGGCAAGCATGAGCCGGTGCCCTCGTTTGCACTTCAGACCTGGCTTCGGCGCACCGTCTTGCGGAGTAACTGAGTAGCCGAAGCCTAGCCAATGGCCGAGGTGCTTCACTGCATCGCTCCATGCCGACATCCCGCTACTGGGCTTGATGAGATCAGCTGCAGCAGCTGGAGTGGCCGAGGCTGTTCCGCAAGATGCTGCGAACATGTCTTGAAGATGTGGCACTGCTCTTCTGTCAGATGTAGTCTCGTCGGAGACAATGCCGAGCTGGAGCATGGCACACGTTTCGCAGCTCAAGCTGCAAGAGCTTGCCAGCACTTCGCAGTCGCATGGGACGTCGAGAATGCTTGAGGAAAAGCTCTGGGATGCAGCGGCTGTGGTAAGCGCAAGAAAGTTTAGACAGGATGAGATGGACGGTGACGTGTGTTTCGCGGATATGGAGATGTTGATCGCTGCTAGCAGCATATCCGACATGATGGAACGGCAAGCCTCAATAGATCTTCGACAGGCAGTGAGTGAGGAGTTTGCACGCTGGGCAGCAGCTCGTGATTCCGTTTCCGATGTGAAGCAAATGTCTTTCACTGCATGCGCTGGAGCTATGCAGCTTCCCGATGAGCCGTGTGTGTTCAGCGCGCAGTCGCGATTGTGTGTGCTTTGGAAGCCTCCCGGGTGGTCTGTCATGGTCGGCCGTGACGACTTTGAGTCCGCAGAGGCACCGAGGTCGAGGCTTACCGAGATCGACCGGATGGAAGGGCTGGCCTCCAGAGATCGGGACATCAGTTCCTGGCTAATTCGCACGTTTGGAGAAACCAACCCGATTGTGCTGGATTCGAAGAGATCGCACGGGCTCGTTCACAGGCTTGATAAGATGACATCTGGTGGGTTGCTGTGGGCGAGTAGCTACAGTGGATATTATGCGGCGAGACTGGCTTTCGCTTCCCGCGAGACCTTGCGAAAGGAGTATCTCTGCTTGAGCGAGGGCTTGATGAAGCGCAGCCCACACCTGATCACCATTGCCCTGCGCCAGCTTGCAGACGGAGCCGATACTCGCAGGTCAGTGGCTGCGGATGCTGTGGGAGGCAAAGAAAGCTCGACAGTGATACTGGATGCGTCCCATTGCATGACTCCGGAAGAATCCGGCGTTAGCTTCGTCAGAGTGCAGATCTTCACCGGTCGACAGCACCAAATTCGAGCACATCTTGCAGAAAGTGGTCACGCACTTCTTGAGGACGCGGCTTATGGAGGCAGTGCCGCGGCCTGGTGTGAGCGCATCTTTCTGCACTCCAGCCACCTGGAGATTGATATTGGCGACGGAAGTCTGGAGGTCAACGTCCCGTTACCTGCCGACCTGCAGAGCGCTGCCCTCTTTTTGAGGGCTCTGGATGGCCCCTCTCGTGCGGCACTCCGGAGCCAGGTCACGTCAGATAACGACAGAAAGGATGTCTGGCGGTCTAGCGCCGCTGTGCTTTCTCGGGACATGGCTCGGTTGAGGCATTGCCTGACCCTGTCGCCGAGGTGGTGGCAACAAGAAGCTTGCCGACGTGGGACCTTGGCTTCGTGACAAGCTGTTGGAACGCTTCAAGCAGGTCGGGGTTCAACGTCGTCAGATCATGTCAGGGCACAAAGAGTCATTGTGCCCGAGAGTGGGCCTCTGCTTAGTCCCGAGTTCAGTGGGCGCCCAGAGAGCCTCGTCAGGTGAAGCTGCCGCTGACAGCCGCTAGCCTGATGCAGCCGAATCTGTGCCATCTTTGCCTGCTGCTGCTCCTGCTGCTGTTGGCGTTGGTAGTGTTGTTGATGTGTTTGTTGTGGTGCAATGGCAGTATCAGCCTCATTTGCCACATCTGCCCACAGATCCCACGACAGAGGTCAAGTACATCGATCCAACCTACATGATCCGAGCCATCGGGCCAAATGCAAACGACAGTGGCCTGGCTTCAAAGTGGAAGGCAGCTGAAACCCAAGCTTGACAGTCAGACTCGGAGCAGGTGTTTACTGTTCCTCGCTGAGCCACAACGCGGTGCATGCCGCTATGGCGGGATACACCGGGATTACCGTGGGTGCGCTGCTGAGAACTTTTAGATTTTGGATTTCAGCTTCCTTTTGCTGCTTGACAGAAACACGAATGCAGTACATGCGCATCAGGCCAGATCAGCAGCCGACAAGTCTTGTTGCCGATTGCTTGCGTTACGAAGAATCCGCAGCATCTCGCTTGCAGCAAGTTTGCACCCGCCAGCACAGCAGAGTCCCACCCACCGATGCAGGAAGCGAGTTGATCTCAAGGGTCAAAGGCTGCCATCCTTGGCTGTGCTCTCTTGCGTTCCAGATTCACGGCTTCGGGCAGGTTCCAGGAGCTGGTAAGCTCCACTTTGCAGCCGAACCTGGCGCCAGAAGGTGCCGAGGAGGGGGTAGATCAGGCGCCCTTGCCCGCCAGAGCCCCGACAAGCGTAGAAAAGTGCAGACCCGCGTTCACAGACATGCGAGCAGTCTGATCAAGGCGGAGAATCCTCTGCTGCACGATTCAGAGCCGGTCGAGCTCGTCGGCGCCATCGGAGAAGGATGCGAGGCCGTGCGGACGGGCCCTTTCCAGATCTTTCTAGCACACGCCCGCATTGTCCGCCTCGGCCGTTGATGGTGGCGAGCGGGAGATTTATGTGGACTCTCTGTTGCCGCTTGTCGGCCGGTGTTCTTCCTAGATGTGCCTTCGGTTAGCACGATCCGACCTTTGCCAGCATCTGTGGTCCTGGCCCCTGTCCGAAACTGCAATGTGGAGGTTCGGCGTCTTGAGCTGGAGCATCTGTCTCTCAAGTTTGGTGAGCAGTCGGAGCAGACAACGCTGATTGAGCAGGTGGGGCTTTTCGGGGCTTCGTATATAGGTTGGAATCTCAAGACAAACTGGCTCCGGTCGTAGTCGTCCTGTAGCTATCGCTGCGACGCCACAGAGTCTGAAGGAAAGCTTATGCATGATCCTGCTAGAACTGTGCAAAAATCGCTGCTACCTCTCGGCTATCTGGGGCTGCTTGCGGCTGTACCTGTAGAATGCGAAGTTGGAAAGGCGCATAGCTGAGCACTGACCTGTGCAATGGGAGGTCAAGGGAGGCAAGGTCTGCTTCTTCGATGAAGCTTCCTGGGTCTCAGTCTGAGAGCCCATGCAAGGTGGAATCCCCGTGGAATCCATGCCCAGGTCACTCAGACCCTCGGTCTTCCCGGTGTTCGCCTGCAGATGCTGAAGGCATGGATCGGTTTGTTTGTTGAATTTTCGCAGGAACTTCGTGAGCAGCGTCTGTCTCAGAGTGCGGTACTCGTAGGCTGGGCCAAGAAAAAAGCTGTACTTCAAGCCGCCGTCCTGGTCGCCGCAGTTTTGGAAACGTTTGTACCATAGCTGCTTCACCATCTGACCGAGGCCGTCGGAGGTCGCAGCCACCATCGTCACTTGCCTGGGCCTCGGAGGCTGTGTTCGCCTTCGTTCAAGCAGCACACCATCGAAATCGAAGGTGGTGGCTTATGTCCTGGCTTGAACTCCGTCATCCGTGAGTTGGTGTCGGGCCCAGCCCAAGCCCAGGCAAAGACCAAAGCTGAAGCCATGACCAGTCGCGACGAGGTCATGATGCTGTATGCCTACGGTGTCAAGAAGGTGTACGGTATCAAAGGCGGTTTCAAAGGCCGCCCTCTTTCGGAATTGCTTTGTGGAGGCAACAATCGAACCGCAAGCATAGCGATGCAGGTTGCATGTTCATGTTTACTTATGTTGTCTTGTCTTCAAACAAGTCGGCAGGGTTTCAATAGCTAGCCAGAAATTGTCAATGTTTTTGAAGGGAGTTTTGCTTGATGCGGGACGATCCTGGAAGCCACTGTCGTCACGTATGCTCCTGCACCTTTGATTGGTTGTGCCCTGCAAGACGTCGTTAATGTCCACTCCAACTCGCTTCCCATTCACGCTTCTCTCGTCGTTCCTAGTAGGTGAGATGGAGCTTGTAGCCCATACCGCTCGGTGGTGCCGCTTACAAGATTGGGCCAGTGAAGGCACCAGTTCGAGTGTTATCGGAGTAGGCGGTCATAGTCCTGGTGGAAGACCTCTTCACTAGTCAAAGTCAAAGGCTCAAAGCCTCCGTTTGGTGACTCGACACGAATCATTTATGCTGTGGAAGGCAAAGGCACACTCAGATTGCTGAAGATTTAGTCTCATGTGCCAGGTGTCGTGAACCCGCAGAGCTGGGTCACATTGACGCCTGAGAATGTGAAGGATATTCATCTACAGGGCTCCTCGTCCAGACGCTGACCCTCGTGAACCGACATGTTTTCCGATTCGTCATCTTGAAGCAAAGGCGGGTCAATCCTCGTGAGCGATCGTGGGAATCCTCCTCACATTGAGATGGCCAGATTCCTGGAGTGCTCGACTTCTTTGCGCGTGGCATTGTGTGGCAGTTCACGGGCACATACAACCGTCTCTGGCATGAACCATGCCTGGTGAGGCGAAAGCCTTGAAGAAGCGCGGCGTGCGTCAGCACTTCGTCTTGGGCGGAGACGGTACGCAAAAAGGCCCGTGTCAAGGGCTACGTCCAGAGGCATTGGAAGACGGCTCCAGCTCTGCCATTCGTGAGGTGCGTACCAGACGTACGAGCAGATGCAATCGATAGGCCCGGCCCTTGGAGGAAACATAACAGGTGCATTGTCTCCGTAAGGTGCACGGTCTCATACGAGAAGCGCTTGTCATAGTGAAGCAACCGGCTGAGCATTGCTTTGTTTGGCCTGAGGTTGGGAGTGTGCCGTTGTCGGCATTCCAAAAACGATTGACAACGACATCAATTTACTGGACTGGGGTGGCGACATGCTGTTTCACAACGAGCGTTTCCTCGAGATGCTTGATGCTGAACCGACAGGACCGCAGCTTCGGGTTCGACACAGCCATGAACCTTGGTCATGGATACGGAAAGTATGCTAGTGTTTCTAGCTCCCGAATCTTTGTCTTTTTGGAGAGCTGCTTAAGCTGAGGACGGAAGCACAGAAGGCCATAGAAGTCGCGTACGTCGAAGCCACGTGCAACGCGAACGCCATTGGCCTCGTGAAGCTCATGGGCAGGAGCCACGCTTCAATGCGGCACGTACGTGCACGGTAGACCGTTCTGGTTGGGCACGCCGACTCAACGTGTAAATTTGGCGATGCTTGCTTGACATATCTTCGGACGTGTTCTGGCCAGGCATTGTGGCTACTTGACAATGATGTCTGTCTTGGCTGCTCGTCACGTCGACATCTGCCTACTCCCGGAGATGGACATAAACCTCGAAAAGGTGAGAGACGGGCGGAGACTAATCGGTGGCAGCTTGACCCATAAATGCCACGGGAGATAACTTCAAGCTTTGTTGGATGCAGGCACCAGCACGAAGCTTGTTTCTGATGTCTTCAATGTCCGAGCTTCCCTGAAGGTCCTCGATCATTGCGTAGAACTTGTCAGCACAAGTGGGTATGCCGTGGCTTGCACGCATCATGGCAGCTTCCAGCTGAAAGTCAGGATTCCGAGCTTCCAACTTGCGGGTCATGGGGTTACGCGGTCACGAACTCAAGAGGGCCGCGGGATCACGTGGTCATGCCCCAAGCCTCCTAACTGAAGGGTCATGGAAATGCACAGTGCTCGAACCAGGAGCATGCCTGGGTCAAAATGACCTGTTCCCTTCCTGTCGTTGTTTGGGGTGGGGCATCAAACTCTTGTCGAATTGAGGTGGTCGTGGTCGCGGAAGGCTGTGGAGACACGCTGCTTCACAGCTCAGGAGAGCCTTCGGAACACTGAGTGTGCTTGCGATGCTTTGCACAACGGATCTGCCTGTCTGCACTGACTAACAAGGAGCAATGGACGAAGGCGGAAACAAGAAGATCAACGATGTCGGGCCATGGCTGAAGGCCGGAAGTGTGCAACAAAAGAAAGCAGGAGTTGTCAGAGGCAAGAGAAGAGTAGAGTCTGCGCAAGACTCCCGGTAGGACGCCATCACGTCGCATTTCAAAACCTTGAAGCCCCCTGGTTCGAGCATTTGAGGTACAAGTGGCATGCACGCAAGAACGCCTAGGATGTTTGATTTTGTCCTACCTGCCAAGGCTGCCAATTACCATCAAGTACGTGGACCCGACCTACATGGCACCTTGCTTCAGGTAGTAGTTTTCACAATCTAAGGCTGAGCATTCGCAAGAAGCGCACCCGTGAAGTAAAACGCATTCTGTGGCATAAGGTCCGTGCAGTGCCTGCCAATCCCAATGACAGCAGCCTGGCCAGTTGCTTGAAGCGAACTGCAGGATGAAGACGCCCGCGGAAGCTGAGGTATCTACTGCTCGGAGCTGGCGCAGGCAGCCGTCCATGCTGCCATGGCCGGCTACACAGGTGCAACTGTGGGCAAGGTCGATCAGCAGGCGGGAGCTCGCGCAGCCAGCATCCTCTTTCCGTTCCTTCTCCGGCCTCCGGCCGCACTGCTCAGAATTCTCGCAGACTGTTCAGGTCGTGTACCTGCCCATCAAGATGCTAGTGTCTCTTCTGCAACCAGAACTGGCGTGACTTAGCTCAGACAAAGCATCGGAAACCTGGCCGAGACCTCGATGCCCAGCCGTGTTGTCGACATCAATGGCCGATGGTTCGAAGCCCTGCGAACCACGACGCAACAGCCGAATCTTGCGGCTTGGCGAAAAGCGACGTCCCAGGTAGAGAAGACAGAACTTTCGCTTCGTCCGAGGAGTGGGTCGGCAATGCCGCAGCCAAGCCCATAGATCCTACGAAGAAGCAAGCCTTGCTGCGGTCCCGACGTGCCGGCCCGCATACCTGCCGCTCAGTCGGGTGTTTGGCATCATTTGTCTCGTGTCCTGTCTCGTGACACCTGGGGAGCTAGATGCCTGGTTCCTGCTTGGTTGTGGCACCACATTGGCTTCAGCTGCACCTCCACCAAGTGAAACCACCAGGAACCCCTGGACAGAACCCGCCCACATCCGCCCGCCCGCTGTCTCTGCCCACTGGCGCTTTCCCGCAGACTCTCGGATCCTCACCTCTGTTGGCTTTCGCATTCCTCTGTGGTAAGTTGAGGCAAATGCAGGCCCCAACCAAGGCTTTCTGTTTTTCTGAGATTTTCTGAGGTACCTGCTGTGCACCTTCGTGATCGTTTGTGCAACGGAGGAATGCGCACAACAACAAACCTCACAGAACTAAACCGAGGTGTTTTCTGGCGGGGGCGGGGTAGAACTTACACCGAAAAGGCGATTCCGTTAGTCTGCTGCTGCACAAGTCAGATTTCTACCAAGATAGGCTGGCTTGAAAACTCCAAGGGGCAAGAGGGAAGAGCATTGACGACTTGGAGAAGTCCGACACGCTGCGTGTTCCAGACACGATGCTGACCATCATGGACGGTGTCCCGGCAAGATGCAACAGAAGGTTTGCGACTTGGGACTCTTGGCCGTCCGCCTTTTTGGCTTCCTTTTTGCAAGCTCAGGATTCGGAAGGGTCCGGGAAAGTCGGCCTTTGGCCAGAGATGACCTGATACAGGACGGTTCTCAGTGACCAATCCCGGCACCAGTTAAGTTAGTTCGTGCTCTGTGTTTATGCCGAGAAAGTGCAGGACAGCACAGAGCTACGCTCCCTTCAATGCTTCAATCTGAGCCGCTTGCCTCAAAGGTTTGGCGATGCTGGTAGTCGGTTAGGCAAGCATTGATGCTTTCTTTAAAGACTCCGTGATTATCGCATTGGTGGTCTTTAGCTGAGGTGAACGCTATGGGACGTTTGACATCCCATCCACCCTAAAGGGTGTCAGGCTGTCTGGGTCTGAGAATGGTTGTCGTGGACGCGCATGCGGCACAACTGTTTTTCACTGAGGTTCAGTGATAACTTCTCTTGGACTTCTCAAGCCTTGTTCCTCGGGAACCGTCGGGTGCCGAGCACGGCCTCGCTTGAGCGGGCGCATAAAGTGCAGCCATGTGGGGCAAGGTTTGGACTCTGGCAGAGGGGTCCCATACTTCAAAATGCACCGAGCTCAGTGTGCTACAGCCGTACATGTCAGAGAGAGAAGTCTCTCAGCCAAGGACTCGCGCAGGTCCGCGCGAGTTTTTGCATTTTGATCCGCATGACCCAGCATCGGCTGCTGCCATCATCAGCTGTGGCGGGATCTGCCCTGGCCTCAACTGCGCCTTGGCAAAACCACCCCCACACGGGAAGCCGTAAGCTGATTCTCTGGTCTTTGCTGAAGCACTGTGGGCTTCAGGTGTCATCCGCGAGATTGTCAACACCTTGTGGGCCTATGGCGTGCGTCGCATCTATGGCATCAAAGGCGGCTACAAGGGAATTCTGGAGCCAGACACATGGTTGCTCGGCAAGGGTGCTATCGCTGTTGCAGAGGCCAGCATGTTAGCACCAACTCTTTATTGAGGTTGGAGCTCAACCCCGAGGTTGTCAAGGACAGCTATGGATGGTCTTAGGAACTTGGGAAGGGCCATCACAAGTTAAGATTCTGCCAGGACATACACGCGGAAGGTGGCACAATGCTCGTCAGTGACAGAGGCAACCCACCCCACATGGAGCCTTGGCCGCATATGCTGTCCAGGGCGACTTGGTGATGTGCAGTTCCTGTTTTTGCATCCTCAGCCTGGCAAGAGCGCGAATGAGATGTGAGAGTCTATTAAGCTCGATGTGACGCTGAGTGACAGCTGAATGTGCTTCGAAGTTGGCCAGAATGGTGAGCTAGCATATCTCGAATGTAAGTTTGCATGATCAAGTTTTGTCACTAGGCCACTAGGCGAAGCCCTTCACGAACAAACCCACGCCGTGATCCAGGTGTTGTGAATCGGAGGAGAAGTCACAGTCCACGCCGCTGTACTTCGTGTTTTGTTGGTGGGCGCTGAGGACATGGCCAGGGCATTGCAGAGCAAGAACATCCGACAGTATTTCGTGCTGGGTGGGGGACCCGGGCATGCTGACCAACGTTTTCTTTTTTTTTTTGGGGGGGGGGGGGGCTAGGTGCTGTAGACGGTTGTGCTGTCCTTTCGATGATGGCAGGTGGTGACGGAACGCACAAGGGGGCCATGCAGACCTTCAATGGCATGATGGCATCTTGGATGAGAGTTTTGGATGTGGGGTCATCAGAGACACGAAGCAACAGGAAGTTCAGTCCTGGTTCAGCGGCTTGTTGTAGCTTCTCCTTTCGTTCCTGGACATGCTTCATGTGCTGTATAGTGAACTGAACAGATCAAGGGTGGCACCGTGGGTCGTCAATACAAAGTAGGCACTTAGGCGGATGTCTTCTATGAGTGTGCTTAGCAATCGCTTATGTTTTCATGGCAGCTTGACGCCTCCGGTGTTGGACAGCTGATTGATGGATCCAGCAGTCTTCAAGCAAACGTTCTCCGAATTGGGCTACACTTTCAACAACTTGGAATGTGACACCGCAGGCCGTATCGTTTGTGCAAAAGCCACGCGGCGAGGCTGCCCTCTGTTGGCGATACCCCTGACGAATTGTTGGACAAAGAAAGCGGCCCAGCAAAGTTGCCGAGACGTGAGATCAGCCTTATCGACAGCCTTGCGTCGGAATCCCGACAGTTTCCTCCTGAGTCGCGACTCGACATGGATTGTGTTGCACATGCTGCACACGCACAATCACGGGCAGCTGGCTTCGATGCGCCGACATGTCGAGCGTCTTAAAGAAGTTACCGGCACGTTGACCTCGTGGCCACAAGAAGACATGGAAATCCTACGTCCAAGCTTCTGGTGGGAGGAAGGTTGCAGAAGGAGGCAGCAAATCACCATTGACTACTCTGATTTGCGGTCCGACCTCGGACCTGAGGTTTGCAGGTTTCTGGGAGTCACGGAATCTAGCTTTAGGTGGGCACGAGAAGCCCTGCAGCAGCTAGGCTTGAAGATCCATGGAGAAGATCCGTTCGTACCCATGCAGTTATTGGTCCCCGGCTTCGAACTTCTGCACACAGAAACGCAAGCCGAGCCTGATCCGTATGCTGTCCAGCTCGTTTCTACCCAGAAGGGTCCTGTTCTGATTGTTGCCGCAGGCAAGGATTATGCATGTGGAGAGGAATTCTTTCTGTCGCATGGTGGCCTGCTTGTCTCATCCGGTGCGCAGCTGGCAACCAGCGGGGTGCTGCTGAATCGTGTGACGGTTGATCCGGAGAAGTTTCCTTGGGAAGGTGTCGTTCTTTGCATTGAATTGCGTACAGATTCCATGAGAGAAGATTCGGACGAGAAGGCGGTGTTTTTCTATCAGCTGCAGGAATCCTTAGGACAGGCCCTTCGCGATGCCTCGCCAACGTGGAACATACCAGGCCTGTGCATGGCTCCGAACCCCTTGGAGGAGCAGTCAGCGGTTGAGTGTGGACTTGACGATGAGCTGCTGCTCCGAATATGCATTTGCAACGACCGGCCCTTGCCGCCGGGTCCGTGCCTTCAGATTCTCGGAATGGCTGCACTCGCGGACTCCAGCAAACAGAGGGACATCCTCATGAATGAATGTGCTTGGGAGGGTGTCTGGGAAGATTCCGCGTGTGAATCGCGTGGCTTACAGTTTCTGGTGGATGAGATCCAGGCAGCTCTGGCGCAGTATCCAACCGATGAGAACATAAGGAGCAGAGCCTATGATGGATGCCCACGGACGGATGCGCTTTGCTTCGACCTGCTGCAGAGGGAGAGGCAGATGTTGGAACGCGCTGCAGAGGCCGGGAGCGCATGAAGTTACATGTGACTGCTTGTATGAATGTTCCCCCAAGCGAGAAGCAGTGTCCAGCCAATGCAAACGAGCACGGGATCGTATCCGGTTGCAAAGCTGGGCTGTCGCAGGCAGGGCGGAAGCGTTTGGAATCCTTCAAGCAAAGGGCTCCATCGCAAAAGCCGCCGCCGCAGCCACCGTCGGAACTGAAGCGCGACTCCCTGCGGGATTGGGCCGTGGAAGCCATGGTGAAGCTTGGCATCTCACTCTCACACTTCCGTTTTCCCTGCCGTCTCCCATTTCCCACTTTGAAGAGCTGAATCATTGGGTAAGGACTGGTTTGAGCGAGACGGCCCAGGAGTTTGAACGGCTTGCTCACAAGGAGTCGCTTGGACAGGCAAGGGTCCAGGGCCGACGGACAACGCGGGAAAAAAGCTTTGCACTCGTGTCTCGCCACGCATGCAGGCCTTGGTGCAGCAGCTGGAGCTGCAGCTGGCAATGCTTGCCAACCTGGGCTTCGCCCCTCCGTCTGTATTTGCAGCATGAGCGCCTAGCTTCTCTCATTCCAAAGAGCCTGGCACCGGGGCGGGGGCTGCTGGACTCAGGACCTTGCGGCGCGAGAAGTGAAGACGCCGCCGGCCCCGCCGGAAGCTCGGCCGCTTCACCGAGCGGAAGACGCCGGCCTACGAGCGCAGCTGGCTCGGAAGCGCTGGCAGCTTCAGTGCTCCTCGGCCCGTTTGCGCGAACGCTTCTGTATGCTAAGCTGAGCCTAAGCACGAGAAACTCACGCAAGAGAAACGGGTCAAGCTTCCGGAAACTGCCCCAGCGAACCTCAAGGTTTACAAGTTTTCCAACGGATTCAGATTTTGAGAAGCAGGTTGCTCGTCATCCGGTTTCTTTGAGCTTGGACTGGAGTTGTAGCGATTTTGAAACAGATGGCATTCCGTTCTCTCTGCTCGCAGGCCCCAATTCCTTTCTCCGAACGGTCGTAAAGTGCACCATCAATGGAGAAATCAGCAAGAGTCCCAATTCCCCATCAAATCTAGTTACATTGTAGCAGTGCTGAGGCAACGAATGAGAAAGCTGAGAACTGGGTCTGAGAAATAAAGGTCGTTCGTTTTCCATGTTTGTATGCATGTCGTGCATGCATCCTGGCCTGAGGAGGACTAGTAAAGTTGTAAAGTGTCGTTTCGTAGATTTCCTTTCGTTCGCCACTTTCCCTGCATTTGCTGTTGTTGTTTTCGACATACCGCATACATTACAGTACGGATCAGTGGAGTCAGCACAGAAGCCACCAGCAATACTAGTAGCAGATCAAAAGGCAGAGTCTGAGATGTTTCGTGAATCCAGCCGGAATTTTGGGGGCGTCCTTTCCAGCAGGCTTGAGTGGAGAACCTGGCTGTCCTCGTGTCGCAGCGCGGCTGTTGGAGCTTGCGTCCCTACACCTTCAACTGGGTGACAACGAAGCCGCACGCGACGACATATCAGGTGCACTGGAAAGGAATCCCGACATGCCTGAGGCCAAAGCTTTGCTCGAAGTGACAGAGGCCGTGTCCCGAGAGCTTCCTCAAACCGAGCAGTACTCTTTCGATTGGACAGACGGAGAGGATGCGGAGGATGCGCTGGCCGTTGTATCCGAGGAAAAGGCAGTCCTTGCTCCTCGTGCAACTCGCCGTGCAGCGTTTCCTCCCCGCCGCAGTCGCCCAGTGCAGAGAAGGGTGGTCCTGGACCGCAGGACTGAGAAGAAGCCTCTCGGGATGAAGGTGCGACCCTTTCTGAGCGGCTTCGAAGTGCAAGAGGTGCAGACGCATGGTCTGGCCGCTGACTGGAATTCCGCCGTGCCACGGGAAGCTCATCTAGGCCCTGGTGATAAAGTGGTGCAAGTCAACGACATCAGAGGTGAAGGTCAGAAGCTTCTGGCAGAGTGTAGCATCTCAGACTGACAAGCGATCATAGCGAATTCCATGTTGCAGTAGTTTTCTCTCGGCTAGGTTGAGTCCGCAGTCAGACTGAAGAAGCGCAACTGGAATCTTTGTCTGATATGAGTTCATGCACGTGTATTTATGTATCTGCTTGTCACATTCTGCCTTCATGTGTTCGGAAAGCTGTCCCGACCCATTTCGTCAGACCTTCACAGGCAGAAGCATGCCCCACCCTTTAACATCGGTTCGCTTGATGCTCACTGCACTTGGTCATTCTCTATGAGGCAAGAAGCAACTTCTATACTTGGTGTTGGCACCTCGGGAAGATCCCGATGTTGCAACATGTGCGCCGAAGGCTGAGACAAGAACTGAGCATTCGGCGTCTTGGCCCTGCGTGAGACGAATTCCTTAATCGAAAATCCTCCAGAGAGATAGGGCCGGAGATGTTCGGCAGGTTAGGTCAGGGTCAAGTTTGCAAGGTTGACACGTGCGTGGCCATGCATCGTGACATGTAGGGTCCCGGCATTCCAGGAGACTGCTACCTGGAGTGATGTCGCCCTGCAACGGCTCTTGGGATTCACACCGCCTTGCATATGCGATTGGTTGTGGCATGCCACAGCGCCACCTGCGGAAGTACCAGTACATGTGACGGACAACAAAAGGAACATGGCCGTCATCCACTTCCCGGGATGTACGTGGACACACGAGGTCAAACAGGTACTGGAGAAGAAGATGGGATGCCAGCGATTCAATTTCAAAGCCGCAAGCATGGCACACACCCTCAGTGAGTTTGATGTTGTCCTTCTGCCCCTGGTCACCGCCCAGGCCAAGGATGAGAGCCAGAGCCTAACAGGCCTAACAGCACTTCCGCTGGAAATCTTCCATTTTCTCAGCGAAGCCGGAGCTTTGTCTTCGTTGCGGATCGTTGCGCTAACATGTGGGGCACATGGCCCGGATTGTGCCGGGGCACAGGACGACGGCTTCGGCATGCCCGCTGCGGCATGCTTGCGGGGCATGTTCCGATGCTTTCGGATTGACCATCCCTCAGTTCCCATCCTGCACATCGACACAGATGCTCTGGGCATTCCAGGCAAGGCGGAGGAGCTGCAGAGGCAGGTTGAAGCTGAGCTATCTCTAACGTCCGATCTTGGTAATAGGTCGTTGGTTTACACCGGTCGCGAGGTTGCGTACCGCAAGAGCCGCCGCTTCTTGCCGAAACTGGATATTTGTGGGCAGCGCCCCCCGGGAAGCAACATATCCGTGTCAAGCGAGGGAGTGGCACTCATTACCGGAGGCACAGGTGGGCTCGGCATCACCACCGCGGAAGCGATGGTTGATGCCGGAGTCCGCTGCGTAGTGCTTTCCTCGCGCTCCGGTGCGATTTCGGCCACGGCACCAGGTAATTTGGTGGAGCGCGTGGCGAAGCTGCAGCAGTCGGCATCTATCATCTTGGAAGCCTGCGATGCGGCAGATGAGAAGCAAGTTGTGTCCATGTTGGACCGACTGCGTCAGCAGCATGGCAACCTGCGGTGGGTGGTCAATGCAGCTGGAATAGTTCTTCCCAACGAGCCCGGGAAGCTAGAAGCCGTCTTTGTTCCCAAGTGCTTGGGCGCCTGGAATATGCATAAGCACACGCAGCAGGACGACCTTGAGGCCATGTGGTTTTTCTCCTCACTTTCTGGCGGCATTGGCTCTGAGGGCATGCACATCTACGCGGCTGCGAACTGTTATCTTGATGAGCTGGCACGGCTTCGCCGGTCCCAGGGTCTGCCAGGCGTGAGCTTGCAATTCCCTGAAGTGGAGGAGGCCGGGATGGCCGCGGCCTTCGGTACCAGAAGCAGCGGAGCGACGGTGAGCCTGGCAGTTGTGCGGAGAGCTGTCAAGCAGCTTATGCTGGGCGAAGGAGACCCGGCCGCCATCGTCGCCCTGCTTCCTGTGGGCTATTTGATCCCACGGTCTGTGTTCCACATGACTGCGCTGGAACCACTAAAGGCCCGAGTAGATCAGGATCTTTGGGCAAATCTGGAAAGGCTGGAAGGCGAGAAGAAAGATGAGGTGAAGTCGATGCGGAAGGAGATCGCCGAAAGAAGGCAGGCTGCACGCCTCGTTGAAAAAGGAGCGACCAGCATGCAGCCATGTAGTTCCCTTGCATGCCCCAGCCTGATATGGGATCCCATGTTGTCTCGCAAGACAGCCCAGAGAAGACTTAGCCTTTGTAAGGTAACCATGCACACTCTCGCGCGCTCGCTCGCTCGCTCTCTCTCTCTCTCTCTCTCCCTCTCTCTCTCTCTCTCTCTCCCTCTCTCCCTCTCTCGCTCTCTCTCCCTCTCTCCCTCTCTCCCTCTCTCCCTCTCTCTCTCTCTCTCTCTCTCTCTCTCTCTCTCTCTCTCTCTCTCTCTCTCTCTCTCTCTCTCTCTCTCTCTCTCTCTCGCTCTCTGTCGATCGCTCGCTCGCGCGGGAAACCAGCTCCAAACTCCGTCTGCTTGAGTGATCTTAGGATCTTGCCGTCTAAGGAGATTGACCATGAGTGTGCAGTCGTCGGTGTGCCGAAGACAATCGACAACGAGACACGGCTTCAGCTAGCTGACGAACTTGAACAATGTGCAGACCAGATGTTTTTCTCTCATAAGGACGTGCCCATGGTTGACCAGACCTTCGGCTTCGACACAGCCTGCACGGAGGCAGCCAAAGCTGTCAACTCCGCGTCACTCGTCCCGAAGAGCTATTCTTCAAGTGGCATGTGCTTGTCATTGTTCCAGGCTGTCATGACATGAGAGTAGGTAGGCCAAGAGCTTCCTGAAGCAAAGGTACGTTGAGGCGAGGGGTAACGACTCTCAGATGCAGTAAGCTGCATTGGAAAGAGCATGGGTGGGTGGCCCGCAACGATTGTTCTGGCCAAGGCCAACTGCATTGGCCTTGTCAAGCTTATGGGGCGTCACTGTGGCTTCATCGCCATGAATGCTGCCCTGGCTGCACGCAACGTCGACATTTGCCCCTCAGCTGCGAGGTAGAGCGTTCGACGATGGCAACGGCTTGTTTCGTTTCCCCATGCATGCATCAATTGAGGTCTCATCCCTGAGATGGATATTGATCTAGAGAAGGCTGCAAATAATTGCGGTTTTACCGGAACACGTGCGTGTTGCAATGCCTTGCAAGTCCAGCTTATTGCTTGTACAGGTATTGAACCATACGGAGCACCTGATGCGCACGAAGGGCCATGCCGTGATCGTGGTGGCAGAGGGCTGTGGCGACACGTTGATCCAAAGCTCTGGGGCGACGGATGCAGGCTCGGTGCATGGTTGGCCAGCGCCAGGTGCTGCATGCCTCCAGTAGCATCAGTACCAAGAAAGTGGATAGCATCGAAGCAATCAAAGCCGTTTCCTAAGATTTCAATGCAGAAACACCCCAATGCCGGCTGAGTGCGTGCTGCCTGTGCAGACAGGTGGCAACAAAATCCTTGCAGATGTGGGGCCATGGCTGAAAGATACCATCACCGCCCGTTTCAAGTCTTTGGGCCTGCCACTCACGATCAAGTACATTGACCCTACGTACATGAGACTTGCTGAAGCATTATTGGCTTGTGTGGTAGTGCGCCTTGAGGGATCCGTAGGATGTGTGGACGGGCCAACATAGTTTGTGATATTTGCCCAGGATCCGCTCGGTTCCAGCCAATTCCTTCGACAGCACCTACTGCTCAGTGCTAGGGCAAATGGCAGTGCACGGAGCGATGGCCGGTTACAGTGGGATCACTGTTCTCCTGCTGCAAGATATTTTGGCTGATTCCACGTGTTGGTTTGTTGACATCCGGATTCTTGGTCTTTTATGTGCTCCTGTGTGCGAGGTGGGAAAGATTTATGAACGCTACTTGCCTAGTTTGGTGAAAGGTATCGCGCACATGAGTCGGTGCAGGGGGCCAACTTCAGAAGCTGAGGCTATTGCTACTTGCCAATTCATGCCATCACCAATCAGAAAGGCAAACGCCGCGAGCCAAGAACGGTGCAGCCTGTTCACCATGCACACTGCGCGATGCTGGACTCGAAAGTCGCGCCTGCTTACGCAATCCAGAAGACTGCCAGGTGTGAACCCCAACGGTCGATGGTTCTTCCGCATGCGGGAGTCGACAAAGCAGCCGGACTTCCGCCATGACCACAGTATCGCCAGAAGTGTGCACGCACGTTCATGCATTCCCACACGGGGCTCAAGGTCCCGACATTCCTTCCGCACCTCCGAAGTCAGCCGGCACGCAGGATGTGTTGCAGGTGCGTCCCACTGTCAGCTGAAGTGACACCTGCACTCAGCCCACTGGACAGTGCCTTGCCACATGTTTATTGCACATGGATGCGAAGCCAAACGCCGTGTACATGCACGAGGTCAGCGGGCAGCTCGCAAAAACGATAGCAGGCACGTACCTGTTCCTCTCTTAGCTCCGGCTCAAGCCTCTGCTTGCTGCGCCTTCGCAACTTGAACAACGCGGGATCAGCAATCTCGTTGTTTCAAGCATACCCCGACTATTTCAACCTGAAGTCTTGAACGAGCACCCAATATCACCCGAGTTGACGACAACAAGCCCTGAGAAATCCTGAGAACTGATTCTCTACGCGCCACACGTCGCATCATCTCCCTTCGATCGCTGATCGCTGCTCGGACCAGGCATTGCTTGGATTTCGACGGGTGGTGCATTCTATGCCCTTCCTGTCTGCCAGGCCGCTCTGCATGGACTTCCGGTCCGCAGAGCTGCTGCTTGCTTGGGACTCCCGGCGGAAGTCTGGAGTTTCAGGCAATGCCAACTCCGAAAGCCGTGTCTGACAAGGCAGTTTCGCTGCTGGTCGGCTGTCTGCACTACGTGGAAGTCTCAGGCCGGCTTGGATGCTTGGATGTTGATGTGCCAAAGAAGCATGGGGCTCTGAGCTCTGTGGTACAGGATATAACTGCATCACCACGGGCCTGTCCGTGGCAGAACAGAAGGAAGCATTCCTCAAAACCGAGAGCCTGGGACATCCAGACAGAACACTGACAAGAGACATGTCTCCTTGATGACTTGATGTGTGGCAAATCGTATATATGGCACCCAAGGAATGCATTCTACTATTCCTACTATGCGACTTGACTGCCCGCATGGTCATGAAGACTTGCTGTTTATCTTGGACCACGGCCCACCTCTCCCTTACAGGGCGTGTCAAGGTGCTTGAGAAGCCTTTTGCGTTTGTTTGTCGCTGGCAAGGAGGAGTTTGTGAGCGCACCGGACCTCGGCAGCGCGCTGGGGACCAGTCTCTACGACCGCCGAAGCGAAGCGCCCGACACCATCAACGCCCTGAAGCGCTCGGCCCTCAGTCTTGAAACAGGGACGAAAGGTGCGGAACAGGCTGCAGCGGCTTATTTCATTGTTCGGAGGGCCTTTGGTTCAGCTGTTGACACCACATCTCTGTCGGATTCCGTCGCAGCTGGACTTTCACGGTTTCGGGTTCGGCAAATTTTTCTGAGCAGGCCGCAAGACTCACAAGAGTAGCTGCTGGCAAGTGAGGCTTCAATGTCTACCAGGAAGTGATCTGTGGCGCGTTTTACCGCCTGGCTGTTTGGTTATGCGGGCGCTGTGGCCCCAGACAACTAGCGGTCTTGTGTTTGACGTGCGGCCTGGTGTATTCGATGCCTGTGCCTGGTATGGGAGCAGTCAAAATCGTCTGACAGGGCTCAGATGGATTAGGCTTGACATCAGACATTGGTGTGGGCAGCAGGGGAGCGTTTAAGGCTGTGGAGGCGGCGCAGAGACTGGGGTCCAGGGTTGCACCAATGTGACGTTTGACGATGTCGGGTTCAGTGTGTTGGTCGTGGGCAGGCATCGGTTCCACGTGGTGAGATTAAGGTCACAACGTGGTCGATCCGTGGTACTTCTTCCGTAGCTGCAGCTATGCGGCCTTTTTGCATGTGGATTTTCATTGGCCGTAAGTTGCAAGTCCACAAATGAAGCTTCGGGCGTCTTCCACGCTGGCGCGAGGTGTTGCAGGGCCTGGGCCATGTCGGGCTCCTGCGCTTGGCAGCCGCTTTGGGAGGGGATGGCATGCTTGGGGGCTTGGTGCCAGGCGGCTGGCCTCAGGGGTAATACATCGTCGGATGCAGGAAGACAGTCAAGCGCCCTCTTGCCTCTATGAACTCGCAGCACTGACTGCCCATGGCGTAGGCATCTCCCTCTTCGTCTTGGCCTTTCTACATCGCCTGGATTTCAGCCGCATCCACGATGTGGGCATGCTGGAGCTGCGCGAGCTTTTTGGCTGAAGGGCCGTGCAGATCCGTAGCAGTGCTAGTTTGGTCGGGCGACTGCGCCGTCGTCGTGCGGTGCTCGCAATCGTTCTCGTCGGTTGGTTTGGACGGATCCCTTGCTGTCTGGTGGGACTGGTTGCGAGGAATTGGGCCATGCCGGTCATACTGTGCCAGGCTGGGTTTGCCATGCAACCACAGTGACCCTCGCGCCACCTCCCTCAGCTCGAGGTGTGGGCTCTGACCAAGTTGCTCATGACACACCCGTCACTGTCGCTGCGCGAAAGCTCCTGGGAAGCTTGGCCACGATTTGTAAGTGGGAATGGCGAAGACGAAGTCTTTTCAAGAGGCCCGCCGCTCAGGAATTTGTGGCCTGGCGATGGGCTTTCAGATGGCTGACTGTGGCTCGTCATCGCATAGTCCGGTGTTTCGGAGCGAGTGAACAGAGTACGCCCGAGAGGCTTGTGCGACACCACGTCTTAGACTCAGGTGGTGTGCATTTTGGCCGCTTGCCTCGTCCAAGGAGGTTGCCAACCAGAGCTGTCGAGGACCCACGACTTCGAGTCACGCGTCTTGTGACACTTGAGGTGTGGCAGTTCTCCGCCTTCGCTTTTCTACTGCAAGTGTCGGCGGCTTTCTTGTGTGCTCTTCTGGCTTGCCACCAAGGTGCCGAAGCTTTTCTTTGAAAGTTTGGGTTTATAACATCGATGCTTCCAGTCTGAATTTGAATGTGGTGGGGATGTCTGAACTTGAGGTGCGAGACTTGCGATGAATGAAGTCGTGAACTCCCACTTGGTGGCGGTGGCAATTGCTGCCGTGTTGCTTTTTGGAAACGAGCTCTTGGTGCACCACCTGCTGGTCACGCAGTGCATTGCGATCAAGATCCTTGAATACATTCGAGTGCTGCCGATGCCCGAAACAGACACGCTGAGTCCGGAACGGGAGTCGAAAAAACCAAGTATCCGAGTCGGAAAACCTGGACAGCTGAGTCAGAAACCTGACGGTTTAGGGTTTAAGCTGCCCGGCTGATCTGACGCGCTTCAAAGAGGACCATCTCAATCAACGACTCGCTCTCAAAAGGCAGCGTCGAGAACATCGCCTGGCTCGCCTGAGTCAAGACACGGTCAATACTTGAAGCCTCTGTTGGATATTGAAGGTTTAGTCACTGCACTTGGCTTTTCTCCTTTTGAGCCCTCACCTGGTGCCTATCCTGGGGAGTGGAGTGCTGATGTGTTGAAGTTTTCGGGCCTCAGCTGAAGACCGGCAGAGGAGCAAGTGCTGGCAGTCATCAAGTCCGGTTTCAAAAGGGGTTTCTTTACAACTCGGCTGGTTACAGTGCATTTATGCTCAGTATACACATCTTGGCTGGGTTTTTCACACTCTTCATTCTGAACAGGGTTGGGTATATTATGTTGTGGGTGATGACATGCCTTCGCTTCGCAGCCTTCAGGACGTCATGGATGCTTGGGAGGTTGGCATTCAGTATATCCATGCTTTCAGATGCCTGGGTGCTGCAGTTTCCCTTCCAGTGATCTACAGGATGCAATTGCTCTGCTTGCGCCCTTGCAGCGACACATGTGGTCGCGACACAACAAAGCCCTTTTGTTTGAGTACGTCTCCAGTGAAGATTGCAAAATCCTCGATAAGATAAGTCATCCCTTGTAGTGTGCATCACTCGTCAGTGATTCTCATCGTTCTTGCGTTGCTCATATGTGCATCCCCGAGGTCTCCTAAGGTGACTGAGGAAGGCTCTGCCAGAGAGCTTCGCTGCCGGCATACACTCCAAGTCCGTGCTTAAAAAGGCTTTGGGGTACAAATGGTGCAGCGCTGCCCCCCCCTCACCCTCCACCCCATGGCATCTCCCCCTCCCCCCTGTGGTTCCCTGTGGTGTGGCTTCCTTCCTGCCCCCCCCTGTGGTTGCGGTCGGCTCTTGGCATGTTTGCTTTTCTGGGGGACTGTAAGGGCGACATGTGCCGTACAGCGGTGTTGTCCAAGGTCCCAGGGCGAGTCATCGGATTGGACGTGCGCCTTCCCAGCCGCTTTACTCTTCATTCGAGTTCGGTTGTGGCTTTGCCTTGCGCGAGGTCATCGTGACGAGTTTGTATAGCATTGCGTCTGATCAGGCACAGGCAGCTTCCTTGGCCGAGGACATTATCTCGGCGTTGCAAGTTTTCGGTCTTGAATGGATGGTGTTGGGTGACTACACTGTCACCACAGGTGAGACGGCGCTGGCATCACGGCTGGCATTGCGGATGGTATGGGCCTTTGACGAGGCCTTCTCCGCTGTGCAGCCTCTTCCGGGGACAGCTGGGGGACAGTGGAGGCCAGACTTTGGGCTAGGATAGCGGCTAGGAAGGGAGCGGTCCCGTGCCGAGGGTTTGGCGAACCATGTGGCCGTGCACTACCACTTCGAGCTGGCCGTCCCGGAGGGCAGGCTTGGTCCATCGCGGGTGACTTTGTCTACTGAGGCGGTGCTTTCTTCACCGTGGGGGTTGTTGTGGCAGGGGGTGCACGAAGTTTCAGTGATTGCTCCTGGAGAAGGATTCGGGTCGGGTTGAGCCGGATGGCATTAATAGGTCGCAGCCATGGCAACAATGGCAACCTCGTCGGGAGGTGGAGAGAAGCAAGGGGGCCAAGTCTTTTCAACCGATCCACATGGTGCAGCTAAGGAGGCTACCCCTGGTTACCCCAGCTTGAGCACTTCACGAGAGCATCTATGGGACCCTCACGAAGATCAAGGCGGCCGTGCGCTGGCGGGGACAGGAGGTCGACGAGGCGCCGGTTCAGTCGCCCCTCTCTTGGTTGCAAGCCCGGACGTGCAGGAGGTGAAGCCGGTTTTCACGGTGGTGGCCATGAAGAAGTGGCGGGAAAGGCTATCGGCTAGGTTCGAGTGTCCTTGTGAGGGCAGTGCGCAAATGGACTGAACTTGGATTGGATATGGGCTGCTGGGAGGCGTCCATGGCAGGGGCACCCGTGATGTCTTTGTTCGCCTGTTGGAGGCCATGGAGGATCATGGAGGATCCTGCAGTGACCATCGACCATCGTTGACCAGGATGTGTTTAAATTCTTTGGTGCAATCCAACATGTGCACCTTGATGCTGTCGTGCGTCATCTTCATGCCCCGCGTGAGGGCTCCTCTCTGACCAGAGGCGGGTGTTTGCCACAGGAGGTTGGGTGGGGACCAGTGGCATGCTATGTCTCGTGGGTTGGCCCAGGGTGATTCGTTGAGCCCGGTGCTTTCAGCCGTTGTGACGTCTGTGTGCAATCTTCCCGTTGGCACTGGCGAATTGCCGACTTTGGCACGGTTCTCATTTGACGTTGCGAACCGGAGGCTGCAGTGTATTCGTGCCGTGGTGCGTGGGCTCTATCAACAGGATCATCTGATCGATGGTGTTGTGGGCCGGCGCCATGGCCAGTGTTGACTGAGATCTTCAGGCGCAGCTTGGACCAGCGGTGATGGCCACCGACTTCAATCATTGGTCTGAAACGAGGGCGGCCATCTCCTTCGCCAGTGAGCCTCCTCAGTGGGTTGAACACGCTTCGATTCGACTTGCGAGTACACGGTGGCCTTAGTTGTTGCCGGTCGCTTCGGCTGTCCTTGAGGACTTGAGGAGCTTGGGTGGTGGACGTGTCGGGACGGCTCCTACATCTACCCTCGTGGTGATCGTGGCGTGGTTCGGGTCTTTCATCTTGGATATGACTCCTCGGACGTGCTGCGGATGTGGTTGTGTGACTTGCTCGCGGTTACCGGCCGGGTCGCCAAATCGCGTCATCGAGATGGCCCTGGACTTGCTCAAGGTGCTGACCTCCCTGGGGTTCCCGGTGGTGCTCTCGTTGTTCTTGAAGGTCATCGTCGAGCTTACGAGGCGGCTTCGTCGAGGACGCAACGGATGCGGAAATGGTGCCAGGGTGCACCTCATGGCACAAGGCGACGCGGAAGGGTGTCCATGTTGATGGACTTCCTCCCTTGGAGTGTGGCCGTGCCGCCCGCACGATGACTCGGGACCCAGTGGTGTGACATGTCAAAACCACGCGTCACAATGGCATTCCCTCAACCACCTGCTTGAATTGCAGGCAGGCGTGTCCATGCTCCTCCTGCGTGTGTAGCGCAGCAGCGCAGTCCCCGATGACGACGATGCGGCCAACCACCGGCGACCTCCGCAAAGCCAGGATCAACTCGCTCAAGGCCTCGACCTCGGTGTGGCGGGGCTCCTGATCCTCACTCACAACACAGCACGAGTGATCACCACCTCCAAGAAGCGCGACCGCCCATGCGCTCGTTGTCTTAACGAGGCTCCCATCAGTGCCAGCAAAAACAGTGGCGCCGGTGGCAAGGATCCGCGCCACGTCCGCCGCCAGTTCATCCTCCACCTCACATCCAACCACACCTTTGGGAGCAGGAACTTCTGGAAACACACACGCCAGCAGTCGTTCCTTGGCGCGATTCTGAGGGGCCTTGCACGGTGGTCGAAGATGTCTACTACCGCTGCACCAAAGCAGGTTCGTGGCGACCACCATCGACCACCGCCTGGTGGTGTTTTGCAGGCGAGGTTCCTCAATGACCGTGCCGACAAAGCTGTTCGTGCATGCGAGACCCCAAGGTCCACTGGAAAGGAAGTGCTCGCAAAATGTGCTTTGACATCAGGCAAGCAAGCAGCGACCAAGTGAGAAATGCAAGCGATGAGGAGTCTCTGCGTCATCGCCGAGCACTTCGAGGAGTCCTAGCTCCTCATCGGCAGTGTCGACCTCTAGGAGCTTGGCATCCTGTGGTCACCACTTGATTTTCTTGATTACCTTGATTTTTGGCAGCGCTGCACCAGAACTAAAAGGCCTCCGTTTATAGAAACTGTATATGACTGTATATGGTTCAGGTCCTGAGTTTTCGTGCCGGTTTTGTGCGATCTTACCTTTGCTTTGCCCGTCCAGAAACACAATCCCTGTCCGGTCCGGAAACACCAACCCCATCCGGAAACACAACCACATCCCGGAAACATAATCCGGGAAACACCAATCTAGAAGCACTCAAGCCACCGCAGAAACAAAATTGACATTGGAATAATTGTTTTTGTATTTTTATGCGCGCGCGCGGAAACAACATTTGCTCCTGCAAGTTTCGTCTCTGTTTGTCCGTTCTGTCCGTCAAATTAGGGGGCAGAGCGGAAACCAGCAATACAGTCTCAATGCATCGAATTTCTGCTTATCCTGGGCTTGAGGGTTTGGGGCTGAGTCGGGAATGACTGTCTTTGACTCGACCCGAACGTTTTTTGGACTCGTCTCGGGCCTTTTCCGACTCGGGCCCCACCCATGCAATGCAGTCACAGGCCTTGCAGTTTCCGCACACCACAGTCGGCAGATGATTTGTGTGGCTTGTGGCCAATGGTTGTCAACGTACAGGAAGACGTGGTTGGACGTTTTGATCCAAGGACGGTCCTTTGGTTGCGGGGCGCGCCGAGGTGGAAGTTGCTTTTCTGGCTGGATGGATTTCTGGCTGTTGCCTGGCGGACGAACGTTGCATCGACCTGCGTGTGGTGAGAGCACGTCTTGAGAGCAGTTCCCTGCTGGGCATTGAGGTTATCCTGTTTGTGTTGCTGCGGGTTCTTCAGATGCCGTTTGCCACTGCAGATGAGCATGTTTGGGAGCTGTATGCGTCCGCACCTCAGAGGCATTGCTTCGTTTGCTGTTGGTATTGCTGCTGGCAGTCTGCGATGCCTTGCAGGAATAAAATGCGTACCCTTTTCCCTGCTTATCTTGGCAAAGAGCAGAAGGAGCCAACTTTCAACACAAGGCCGGCGGGTTATATCCGAGAATGGCGGCAGATTGGCAGCACTGCTGATCTCCCAGGCTTTACAATGCTGTCAGCGTGTTCGATTTCATCAGTCCTGACCCCAACTACAAAGGATTGCAGAAGATGTCGTTAGCACGGAGAGAAACGAAGCTAGCAACAGCATAAGCATTGAAAGGTTGGAAAAATATCGAAGTGGGCTTCCAGACCAAAGTCTACCATTTTGCGGCAGCGGCCGCCCTTCTCCAAGCAGGTGCACGGCGACAGAAAAAAGCGCAGATTCACAGATTTGCAGTTTTCTTGCCAGCTCTCAGGTGCCTTCGTGGTCAACATACTGCCGCGGGCAGGACGAGAAGAGAAGGCGCTTAGCGAAGGCCGCTTGAGCTATTAATTACTTGCAGCTGCTTGCGGATTAGTGCTCCAAGTCGTTTCTTTGGAGAACCCTTCGCGAGCCGGTCAGGCTATGCACATGCCTTTAGCTCCAGCGTGCTGCTGGTCCAGACAGCTCTTTTTTTGGTACTCGGCTGCTTCATAAGCCGACTCAAGTGCACTTTGTCCGCAGGCATACCCCTTCGATAGAGGGGTGGCGGGGTTGTTGTTCTTCATTTTGGAGAACAAAAACCCCCCCATTGTTGTTCCCCCCTTCTTGAGAGAACAACAACTCCCCCCTTGTTGTTCCCCGCGTTCTTGAGAGAACAACACCCTGCCCCCCCCTCCCTTGTTGTTCCCCGCATTCTTGAGTTAACAACAACCCCCCCGCCCCTTGTTGTTCCCTTCCCTTCCTCAAACAACGACCCCCCCTCGTTGTCCCCTCTTCTTCAAACAACAACCCCCCCCTGTTGTTCCCATCCCTTCCACGAACAACCCGCCGGGCGGTTGCTGTTCGTGGAAGGGACGGGAACAACAACGGGGGGGGTTGTTGTTTGAAGAAGGACAACGAGGGGGGGTCGTTGTTTGAGGAAGGGAAGGGAACAACAAGGGGCGGGGGGTTGTTGTTCTCTCAAGAATGCGGGGAACAACAAGGGAGGGGGGGGGGCGGGGTGTTGTTGTTCTCTCAAGAACGCGGGGAACCCCACCCCCCCTATCGAGGGGGACTCTCAGCAGGGGCGTGGAACCCGAGTCCATTGTGTGTTCAGCGGTTCTTCCAGTTTTAGTCGCATTAGCTTTTGGCCTCCTGTGTCCTTCATTCTTTTTGCGTCCCGGCAGTTGAGAAGTGCAAAGGCATTGGCGTGCCATTCCTGCTTGTTTGGGCGACTGCGGGTTTGGGCCCGCGACCTCTGAGCACATTTTTTGGTGCCGCATCGGCCGGGCCACTGCCTCTGCGGGCGCTGCGGACTCCTGGCAAGAAAAAATGGCGCCGTCTGGGGTCCGGGTAGTGCCGGGTAGTGTGGAACTGTGCCAAAGTCGAGCCGCATGGGCGAGGATGGGCCTTTTTGCCGTCGCTGCAGCCGCTCAACTGGGACAGCTGGCATTTTTGGCATACAAGCTCCCCTTCATCGAGAACAGGCATGCCAGTGCCTCGGTCACAGAAGGGCGGCTCTTCAATGGGCATTCTAGTTGTTGATTGTTGCCGACACCACGCGGCACGCCCCAAGTCGTCAGAAGCGTGGCAGCTTCTGCACTCTGCCAAGAAGTAACGTCCGGCGCGTGAAGGCATCCACGCTGACAAGTCCTGGCCTGACGGGGATCGTGGAGAGTTTTTCAACTGGATGGCGCCTCTCGGCTTTGGAGCCTGTGCAGAAACTCTTGTTTCTTCTGCTCTGCCCAAGGCGGAATGTGCCGCGGGACGAAATCGTCCTCGCGGCCATGCCTTTGAGTGCAGAGCTCCGGCTGACTACACCTTTGCGTGTGGCCATCCATCCGCAGTTTGAGGCATCTGCAAGCACAGTAGGAGGAATTCCACTGGGAACTGCAAGGACACTTCGCGTGAATTGGCCAGAGCGCCCTGCCAGGCACAGCATTTGCGCGACCGCGTGCAGGACGGGCAGTTTTGCGACCTCCTCGCATGGTGGGAAGGCCGAGGTCTTTTTCCCCCTTTTCCTGTGTCAGACATTCGTGACACATTCTTCCACTGAGTGCGGATGTTGCACCGAAGGAGCTGTATCAGTGGTACCAGTGTACTCCACCGGCGGCTCGGTAGCTCATGAGGGGAACTCGCCTCGTAGCTCCTCGTCCTGTTAGACCGGCTGCGTGTCTTCCGATCAAGGCAAGCTTTGCAAAAACAATGCAGAAATATGGGTCTCAATACGTGATCCTTGAATTCAAGCGATGTAGCCCATGGCTCAGGCGCCAGTATCAGCGTTTTATGCGACTCAAGGCTGTGCCAAGCTTGCGTGCGGATCGCATTCAGGTTTCGGGCCGTTCCTTCTGGACAAGTATCCCGAGGTGAACTGTAAGGAGCCTATGGAGCCAGCCAGCTCGCAGACTCGCAGGGACCTGCTTCAAGCGTCTCAACACCGTGCTGCGAGGAGGGCGAGCGCCCGTGGCAGGACCTGTTTTGTCCTCGGGCCTTGGCATCTCCTCTCTTCGAGCTTCTCGGCTTGCAAGGGACAGGGAGGCGAACCTCGCAGCGGGCTGACACCAAAAGCATCAAAAAGCCCAAGGCTTCTGTGGGCCAACGCAGAGTTTGCAGTCTTGCGACTGCGCCGGCACGAGGATGTCGTTCAGCTCACACTGCCTCAAGCAGATTTGACATTGATCTTGTCATCGCTTGGAGCGAGGAGGTACCAAAGAGTGCCAAAGCTGGCAGCGTCGAAGACCTTCAAACTTGGGAGCCCATGCTGCGGCGCTGCCTTGCAGAGGCCCGGGCCATGGAAAACGGGCCTACCCTAATGATGTGTGGATGCATCCTCAGCGTGGAGGAGCCGGCGCACTGCGCCTCGCGCGCTGCTGACCTGGCGCTGTCATTCCGAAAGATGGGGCAGGGCAAGGCCAGGAAGCAACATTCGTGGGAGTGAGGTGGCAGTGAGGGAGGTGTGAAGAGTGGTTGCAATTTGAGGTCAGCCAGATGCTGTTTCAGTGGGCAGAGCAGTCTCTCGACCGCATGCAGTGGCGTGCATGGTGGCACAGTGCCTGCTGCTGCAGAGTGCACACAGGAGCTTCAGTAGTGAACTAGTGTGCCGTTGGGCAGGCACGGGTCTGAAGATGCTGCGTTCCAGTACATCCGCGGGCAGCAGACTGAGACGGCAAGCCGCCACTGCTTCCCCGCTTCGGTTCGTGACGAAGTCGAGGCATGGAACGCAGTGAGCTGAGGCACCATCTGGACTACGACTTGCAGCAAAGTGAACGTGCAGGTCCGTACTATCGGAGGGCCTACGAGCTCGATGCAAACAACCCAGTTTTTGTGAGCCTTGCTTCAAAACTTGGAAATGCTGAGATCGCCAGAAGGCCGTCCTGATCGGACTAGCAGAACGTACCACCATGCAAAGCCCGATCACATCCACCTGAGGAAGGAGTATCTCATGTGGCTCGAGTTGATCGCCAAGGATTCCGCAAGTTCACTCCAAACCGAAAGCTTTCGCTATGCGGTCGCTGGTCCCCTTCGCAAGGACAATCGCAGTTTGGTCGAGCTGTTAGGGCCTCGTCGCGTCCGGAGAAAGGCCGGAACAGGGAGATCACAGCTTCGATGCACCGGTCTGATGCGGAAGAGTTGTGGCTGAATGCGCGAGTTGTATTCGTCGTTTTCAGAGAAGTGAACATGAAGGCACGCAAGACGTTGAAAGAGCTTGGCGACCCGGCTTTGGCATGCGAGGCAAGATGGCTTGCATGCTTGCTAGTATTGTAGTGTAGTGGAGCAGCTCAGCTCGTGGTCTGCGGCACCCCTGTAGAGCCAGGCATCCATTACCACTCGAGAGCTGCTTCAGGATTACGACACTCGGCCTGCAAAGACGAGCAGTTTTTCATCAAGCGGCTTGTGTAATACTGGTGCAGTCTTCCAGGATTGGTCGCGCGAGCTTTGGTCCTATGCTTTGGAGAACGGGGTGTCTTGGCTTCGGTTCTCTGAGAAGTGAGCATCAAGGCCAGTGCTCCACGTCAGCTTCAGGTCTGCAACCAGTGCGTCGAGAACAACTGGGCGCTGCATGCCCCGAGTGGGCTGAAGATGCGTGATGACGTCGGCCCGGCCCCAAGCCCGGCAAGATATGCCATCATCATCCATTATCCAGGAGGCTGCCAACCAGGGGTTGGTGTCGTTGGCTGCAGCAATGTGATGACGCTTCATATTGCAGTGCTCTCCCAGGCGACTGGCAGCTGTTCCTCAATGCTTTCTGGCACCGTGCCATGAGAAGTACTCTGATGGGAGCGACAGGCGCTGCAGTGTAGGTGATGTTAGATTCCATGTTTCTGGCATGATGCGTATGTCCAGTCGACGCGTGATTTTGTCACCGCGCAGCACCAGAAGACCAGGTAGAACTCAAGCAAGCTCGCAACGGACTGACATTGCCGTTGTTTGGTGACTGAAAGCCTGCAAATACTGTCGGGATTGTGAGGCAATGCTGGCCGACATGGAGCGTATGAGCGTCGGGTCAATAGAACCTGGGGCCTGCAAGAGATATTTGCTTAAAAAGGCGCGGATGCCAGGAACCGCCCGAGCCGTCAGCACCAGCCCTGACTTCTACACAGAACGGAAGAGCCGGACTCTGTAACTGCCTGGCAAGGCGTTGTCCAAGCACAGCAGCATCAACGAGCTGCTGCAGACGGGCGATACCATCAAACGCCTCGAGGTCCTTGGCTTACTCAACCGGAAGCCCGTGCAGGAAGCCGTCACATGTCAATACAACATAATACAATGTGAAGGTGGTCAACTTGAGCGACCAGTTCCCATCTGCACAGGCTGGAGCCATTCAGAGCCATGCCTCCGTGCAAGCTATTTTGTGTCGCTAGGCGCACCCATGTTGTCTCCACCTGCAGGCAGTGAATGAGATCCAATTTCCTGGCGACATGGCCATGGGCCCGGACTCGTGGTCAACGCAGACGCTCATGCGCCACAACCGTCGTGATGACCGGGGCCGTGTGGGAGGCTTAGCGGGTGTATGCGCGGCAGACTGCAGCAGTCCGGCGCAGTCCGGCAACAGGGTTACTCAAGTTTCGTCGATCAGTTACTGCGCAGCAGCTCTAGTTCCTGCTCCTGCTTCCCGGCCCACCTGTGAGTCGATCTCTCTCCCTCGTTTTCTCTTTCTCTCTCTCTGTCTCTGTCTCGCTCTCTCTCTCTCTCTCTCTGTTGCTCGCCGTCTGTGAGTGTGAGGCCTACCTCCAGCTCTTGCGCAGCGGCCCGCGGAAGATTTTGCACTTTGCCAGTGGCCCGGGCGTGGTCGCATTAGGCCCAAGTCGGCCCAAGGCCCAAGCGAGGCGAAAACAGCGAGCTTTGCCGAAAGATATCGGTTTTGCTCTAAGAGTCGGAGTTTAAGATTTCTTTCCCAGGCTCCAAGTGCAAGCTCGGCCGTGATCGTCACATGTGGAGGCTTTGAACTCCATGCCAGGAGAGGGGTTGTGTAGACTTGCAACCTCAAAGGCTTGTGCCCTGGCTTGAACTCCGCCATCACCTCAGAACGCGAAAACAAAGCCGGTGATGCAGCAAGGTGCCCAGAGTCATGTTCTGATGTTTGGCCAGGTGATTCGCGAGTTGGTTCGCACCTAAGAGCTTGCTTTGGCAGGCACTGTAAGGCCTGCGAGTCCGGCAGCATTTTTGTGTGCTGGCATCGGCTAGGCACTTCGGAAAAATCGATCGCAGGAGTCTGCGCGCACGCACACAACTGCAAACCGGGAGTGGCTGAGGTGATGACTTTGGCCCGGTACGGTGTAAAGAACATTTACGGCTGCAGGGGAGGCTACAAAGGCAACGCTGTGTCGAATAGGTTCGCAAATTTGCGCAGGGGTTATACTCGCCTTATGGCAAGATTTGGAGGCATGGTGCAGCCCGACACTTGGATGACCTTGACGCCCGATGTTGTGCAAGACATCCACAAGGACTGGAACGTGATTTGCAGGCAAGTCTGAAACCGGCCCGGTTGCCATGTGTTGTTCCTTCACAAGGAAGGAGGCACCATCCTTGTCAGTGATCGTGGCTCCTTGGTGCATGTCAGTTGTGCGCTTTTCGGTTCTTCGGTTTGGCCTGGCTGTGGTCCTAGGCAACCCTGCACACATGGAAATCGCCCAGACTTTGCAGAAGCAGCTGCTCGGCGGCAGTCAGATCGCGAGATTGTGTTTGAAACTCGGTGCGCCGAGCCGGGTTAGACGGCCTCCGGAAGCCGATGCTCGCCTACTGACAGCTGCTGTAAGCGCAGCAGAGATGAGGATAGATGAGGTGCAACTGCAAGGTTCAGAACTACCAACCTGCAGAGCAGACAAGGCAGAACACAAGCGTTACAGGAAGCGCAGACGAAGAGACATCGATGATTAGCTTGAGTAGGCCAATCTATTCGACCGTTGTGATGCGGGACCAGCCCGTTTCGTTGAGAACTGCATGATGGATGAGTCAGACTCTGCCACCCGTGATCACTGCAGGACATGAAGGATCACTGACTTTGGAAAGACTTGTCACGGATGACAGGGTGGGAAGAAGTTGATGCATATGACAGAGCGTGCTCTCCAACACCCGAGCCCACTTTGCTCTTGAAGGGTTCCGCGAATCTGAGGAATGTGAAACAATACTTCGTGATTGGTGGCGATGGCACGCAAGCGGGCGCGTTCGAGACCTTCTCTTGTACCCAGGAGATCGGCCACGAGGTTGCCGTGGCACCTCGGCGGCACAGCCTGCACCTGGTGCAGCACGGGTTGCATGTGCTTTGTCCTGCGGAAGTTGTCAAATAAATAGTCGAAGATACTTCCAATCACTGGGCTGTTGCGACTTGCCGCTTGTTCTGGATAGGTTGGTGTACCGAAGACCATTGACAATGACATCCCCGTCCTCGACAGGTTGGTCGCGCCGAAAAGGCAAACGCCCTGCAACTGGTGAGTGCTGAGGTCTTTCGGCTTCAACACCGCCTGCAGTGAGGCAGAGAAGGCCATGGACCTCGGCACTTTCTCCTTCAGACTCGGCTTTCGCTCCTGCCTGGACTCAGGCGATTGATTCCGCCTACGCCTGGAGCCAAGAAGCATGTATATAGTTATATAGCTGGTCAGGAAAGCAGACTGGAGACTTCAAGCTGTGCTTCAGCTTCACTTGCTGCTCACATGTCCAGGTGGAGGCCACGTGCAACTCGCACTGCATTGGCTTGGTGAAGCTCATGGGCATTGGGCCTGGTGCGGAAACAGCGGTGTCGGAAAGGTTGCTGTCACGTGCTCTGCCCAGGTCGGCATTGCGGTTTCATTGCCCTGCATGCCACCTTGGCGGCACGTCTGACTCTGAGAACCACGGGTTTTCTGGAAGCCGCCGTGGCAAGTTACAGGCATTTGATCCCCCCAGTTATCGCACGATGCGAGTTCTGGAAGAATCGTGCAAGATATTTCTTGAAAGAGTGCTCCGGTGCAGGCAGCGTTGACATTTGCTTACTCCCCGAGATGGACATCTCTTTACCACGGGTTCTGCACCACGCGATGCATTTGATGAAAACAAAAGGTCATGCCGGATTCTCAGCCTGTGAATGGGCTGTGGGAAAGGAAGCTTGAAATCGATCGATCTAAGTTCCCGGTAGGAGGGCGAGGTTGCTTCACTAGTGTCGCTAGTTAGTTTCTAGTACCGGTTTCATCTCTACAGAAGCAGGGTTGGATCACAGATCCAGGTGTTTGCCATAAAACCGAACCAGGCTGTCATCGTGGTGGCCGAGGGCTGCGGTGACACGCTTCTGAAGAGTTCCGGTGAGCGCCGGCGCTTCAGGGATTTCGGAGCATTATTTCCTCTTGCACTGACTGATACTGCTGCCGTTCGCCCAGGTGATGCCGGTGGCAACAAGAAGTTGGCGGACGTGGGGCCATGGTTGCGTGAGCAGCTGTTGGCCTATGCGAAGAGGTGCCTTCCCTCTTGTTGCTTCTGCTTCATGTTGCAGATCAGGCAGTTGTTTCCATCTGTATCTCCGTTGTTAGCGGTTGTTACCTGGCTTGCTTTTTCGACTTTCCTTCAGCCAGTTCCCACAGCAGGAGTTTTGGCTGCACCGGTTCATGGGTGTAGTGCCGCTCGGAGTAGTTGGCGCGAGCGCCTGCTCCTGTATCTTAGCATGGCGGGCAAGGCGGAGTACGTTCAGCAGATCAAAAACTTGCAGCGGGGCGACCCCACTTTCAAGCAAACCTGGTGGGACTATTGTGAAGCGCAACTTGGTGGTGTACGTGATCCCAACAGACACGACGAGAGCATCCTAGTCAATTTTGTAGAAGGCTACAACAACGGCACCATTGCCCCTTCAGCACCACGGCCCGAAGAGGAATGGTGGAACAAGGGAAAGGGCAAGGGCAAGGGCATGAAGGGTGACATGTCTTACAACATGATGCCGCCACCGGACATGTGGGGTATGCCCATGATGGCCGGAATGAGCTTTGCAGATTTCGTCAAGGTCGGACAGAGGGCCTCTCCACATTGGAAAAATGCGTGGCAGACCTATTGTGCCTTGTACGGTGCCGGTGTCTACGACCCGTTCAAGCATGACGACACCTACCACAAAAGTTTCATTGACTATGTGGGAGAGCTTGCAGCCAACGGCCTTTCAGGAATTGCCGTGTCACAAGGCATCAACGTAGAAGAGATCACTGCCCAGAGCAAAGGCAAGGGCAAACACAGCGTCTTCAGCATGAGCATGGAGCCGGCTGCGAAGAGATTCCGCTTCGAGGAGCCGGATGGCAAGAAGCTTGAGCTGGTAGAGAAAGTTAAGAACTTGCAGCGGTCCAACCCTGCGGCCAAGGAGGCCTGGTGGGCGTACTGCGATAGTCAGTGCGGCGGCATGCGGGACCCGTTGCGCCATGACACTCCTTCCCTAGAGGGCTTTCTCACCAGCCAGGGAGCTCTGGCTTGATTCGAAAGTGTACACGGTGCTGCTAGGCAGCACCCCTAGACAAGCTGTGATGGGCCAATGGTTCCGAAATCTAATGTGTCGTAGAAGGCATCGACGGCATCGAAACCGTAGAGGAGCAGACAAGCTGTTTCCGAGCCGAGACCATATGGCCATGTTCCACTCCAAATCGATCTTGTGGGTCCGTGGTGGACAGTATTGCTCTGACACATGGTGTCGCCAAATGAAAAGTTAGTAGTAGTTGCAGGCCGAAACCGGAAACTCGAAAGCAGTGAAAAAAGCGCCTTCGTGAACAGGCCCGCCTTTAGAGTCGGGTCGGGCACCGCACAGGTATGCACTGGCCAAGGATGATCTCGCCGCATCGTGTCTCTGCCAAAAGTGTTAGTACTGGCAGCAAAGAGCACCATCATATCGGACATCTGCATAAACCCTACCATACTGTGATTTGTCAGTGTTAGGTATTGAGCGCTTGTGATCTTCCTGTTTGTCGGGTAGTTCCTTGCGCCATTGTGCCAGCACGCGCTCCGTTTTGGCAAAAGAACCTTCACTATCATGGCGGGCAAAGAGGCGTTGGTCCAGCAGATCAAGAACATGCAGCGGATCGACCCCACGTTCAAGCAGACTTGGTGGGACTTCTGTGAATCGCAGCTTGGCGGCGCCCGTGATCCCAATCGCCACGACGAGAGCGTGCTCGGCACATTTTTGGAACAGTACAACACGGGTGCCATTGCTCCCTCGCCCTTCCGTGCTGAGGAGTCATGGTGGGGGAAAGGAAAAGGCAAAGGCGGCGGCGGTGGTGGCTACGGTGGCGGCTACGCAGATCCGTGGGCTATGATGATGGCCGGAGGCTTGGCAGATATGGTGAAGACTGGCCAGCGTGCATCGTATCACTATAGGACCGCCTGGACGATCTACTGTGCCCTGTATGGTGCGGGCAAGAACGACCCTGCCAAGCACGACGAAAAGTTCATCCGCGGATACCTGGACTACCTGGGGGAGCTGGCCACAAACGGATTGTCGACCATTGCTTCCTCTCAAGGCATTAACTTGGAAGAGATCACCGCCAGCAACAAGCGGCCTGCCCCAGGAGCTGAGCCTGCGGCTAAGAGGTTCAAAACCGAGCCGGATGAGATCAAGCTCCCATTTGCGGAGAAGGTCAAGAATTTGCAGAGGTCCAACCCTTCAGCGAAGGAAGCTTGGTGGGCCTATTGCGATGCTCAGTGCGGAGGCCTGCGAGACCCAATGCGACACGACACAGACTCGTTGCAGGCTTTCCTGGTCAGCCAGGGTGCAGCGTGATGAGCATGGCAGTGTCCGCGAGTACTGTTGCGTGCCAGATCTTGATTTCGGCTGCCAGCCGCGCAATCGAGTCGTATCAAATGAGGGGACATTTGTGCCTGGAGGATTCAGGCAGCAGCGCGGCAAAGCTTGCAAAAAAAGGCTTGCGACATGCTTGCGGCTGCAAGGTGTTAGGTTTTCAGGAGGCTGTGATCAATCTTGTCCAAGTGTAAGTTCGGTCGTGTGTGTGTGTGTTTGTGTGTCTGTGTGTCTGTGTGTGTGTCGCACCCTAGCAGCACCTGGAAGGTTTGGTGATCGGATGATGAAAGTCATTGCTGGCATTCTGGCCGAAGCAGACAGAGGGGTTTTGTTGCACACAGTGCTTGAGAGCATAGTGGAACTACATTGCGTGCAAACTAGCTTCCATGTCTCGAATGCGTCACATCCATAGGAACATAAGGGAGTCCTCGATCGACGCCATTTTGCCTCGGCCGCTTGTGAAGACGAACGCGCACGCACTCGGCTGGAGCGAGCACCACCCTTAATCATGGCGGGCAAAGAGGCGTTGGTTCAGCAGATCAAGAACATGCAGCGGATTGACCCCACGTTCAAGCAGACTTGGTGGGACTTCTGTGAATCGCAGCTTGGCGGCGTCCGTGATCCCAATCGCCACGACGAGAGCGTGCTCGGCACATTTTTGGAACAGTACAACACGGGTGCCATTGCTCCCTCGCCCTTCCGTGGTGAGGAATCGTGGTGGGGGAAAGGAAAAGGCAAAGGTGGTGGTGGTGGTGGTGGTGGCTACGGTGGCGGCTACGCAGATCCGTGGGCTATGATGATGGCCGGAGGCTTGGCAGATATGGTGAAGACTGGCCAGCGTGCATCGTATCACTATAGGACCGCTTGGACGATCTACTGTGCCCTGTATGGTGCGGGCAAGAACGACCCTGCCAAGCACGACGAAAAGTTCATCCGCGGATACCTGGACTACCTGGGGGAGCTGGCCACAAACGGATTGTCGACCATTGCTTCCTCTCAAGGCATTAACTTGGAAGAGATCACCGCCAGCAACAAGCGGCCTGCCCCAGGAGCTGAGCCTGCGGCTAAGAGGTTCAAAACCGAGCCGGATGAGATCAAGCTCCCATTTGCGGAGAAGGTCAAGAATTTGCAGAGGTCCAACCCTTCAGCGAAGGAAGCTTGGTGGGCCTATTGCGATGCTCAGTGCGGAGGCCTGCGAGACCCAATGCGACACGACACAGACTCGTTGCAGGCTTTCCTGGTCAGCCAGGGTGCAGCGTGATGAGCATGGCAGTGTCCGCGAGTACTGTTGCGTGCCAGATCTTGATTTCGGCTGCCAGCCGCGCAATCGAGTCGTATCAAATGAGGGGACATTTGTGCCTGGAGGATTCAGGCAGCAGCGCGGCAAAGCTTGCAAAAAAAGCTTGCGACATGCTTGCGGCTGCAAGGTGTTAGGTTTTCAGGAGGCTGTGATCGATCTTGTCTGACTGTAAGTTCGGTGTATCTGTATGTCTGCGCGCGCAACGTCCTCGTACGTGGGGAACGTTCCACATGACCACGACGACCACGACGACCACGACGACCACCACGACCACCACGACCACCACGACCATGACGATCAAGACAAGAAGGACCAAGATACCACCAGGAACCCACGACGACCATGATGACCACGACGACCACAGCAACATACCACGAACACCATGAGCACCACCAAAAAGAGCACGACGACAACGAGCACAGCGATGCCGAGGACTACACCGTGACCACCAAGCGACGACCACAGCACGAGGACCAGGACCCGGGACCACCAGTGCCGCGGCACCAAGGCCAAAGACCACCAGAACCACCAACGGGTCCACCAGCGAGAATCAGCAGGGCCAGCAGGATCAACACCACCACTACCGCCGCTGCCACCGGGACGAGAATCGTTCCCCACAGTCGACGTCAAGGACCGCAAGACTCACACTGGGCCCCTTTTTGATGGCAATACCGTCACACGGACCTGAGGCCGACTAGTGTGGCGGGAACACGAGTCCGACCCCAAACCATGCACCGGAACTGTGGCGGGAAGCAGGAATTTCGGAGGTGAAAACAGGAGTCACATTTGAACAACCCACAGCACTGTTGGGAGCACGGTTTTCAGGGGCGGGGACGCACAGGACTGGTGGGAAGAGAATGCGGAAGCAGATCACGAAGTGCTAAACGGCCTTGCTGGGATTTGAGACACTTCCAGCGCTTTCAAAGCGCCGCGAGTGGGGAGAGGTCGAACAAAGTAGTGTGGCCTTGACTGCAAATTAGGCACTTCACAGTGGACCATTTGATGAAAGTTTCTCCTAACGTATAAAACCCAGCAGAGTTACAATATGTTACGACAATACCTCGGGAGATGTGCACAGCCATTCTTGCAACTGGCAACTAGTGCAGGACGTCACAGCATGTCAGTGGGACTGTGTCCAACGAAGCTACCGGTCGGTCAGAGGAAGGCCGATCACCTTGCCGTGCCTGCAAAACAGCTGCTGAGCTGAGCCAGCAACAGTCAAGACTTGAAATTACTTTCAGTGTTCGTTTTTTTCAGCATGCGCAGTCTGCGGCATACGCATTTTCAGCGATCTGACACGCTGATAACATGTAGCATAGATTAAGTCGCCACTTTGATCAGCTCGCAAAAGAGAGAGAGAGAGAGAGAGAGAGAGAGAGAGAGAGAGAGAGAGAGAGAGAGAGAGAGAGAGAGAAAGAGAGTGTGAGTGGAAACTGGAACCTTTCTGGTCGGAAGATGAATGTTTTTGTTGCTGGCATTCTGGCCAAAGCAGAGAGGGTTTTGTTGCACACACTGCCTGAATGCATAGTGGCCACTCGAACTACATGCTAGACTAACTTCTATGTCTCGAATACGTCACATTCATAGGAGCATAAGGGAGTCCTCGATCGACGCGATTTTGCCTCGGCGGCTTGTGAAGGCGAATACGCACATACTCGGCTAGAGCGAGCGCTACCCTAAATCATGGCGGGCAAAGAGGCGTTGGTTCAGCAGATCAAGAACATGCAGCGGATCGACTCGACATTCAGGCAGACTTGGTGGGACTTCTGTGAATCGCAGCTTGGCGGCGTCCGTGATCCCAATCGCCACGACGAAAGCGTGCTCGGCACATTTTTGGAACAGTACAACACGGGTGCCATTGCTCCCTCGCCCTTCCGTGCTGAGGAGTCATGGTGGGGGAAAGGAAAAGGCAAAGGCGGCGGCGGTGGTGGCTTCGGTGGTGGCTACGACATGGGGGCAGATCCCTGGGCTATGATGATGAGCGGAGGCTTGGCGGACATGGTAAAGACGGGCCAGCGTGCATCGTATCACTACAGGACCGCTTGGACAATCTACTGTGCCTTGTACGGCGCGGGCAAGAATGACCCGGCGAGGCACGACGAAAAGTTCATCCGCGGATACCTGGACTACCTGGGGGAGCTGGCCACAAACGGATTGTCGACCATTGCTTCCTCTCAAGGCATTAACTTGGAAGAGATCACCGCCAGCAACAAGCGGCCTGCCCCAGGAGCTGAGCCTGCGGCTAAGAGGTTCAAAACCGAGCCCGATGAGATCAAGCTCCCATTTGCGGAGAAGGTCAAGAATTTGCAGAGGTCCAACCCTTCAGCGAAGGAAGCTTGGTGGGCCTATTGCGATGCTCAGTGCGGAGGCCTGCGAGACCCAATGCGACACGACACAGACTCGTTGCAGGCTTTCCTGGTCAGCCAGGGCGCGGTGTGATGAGCATGAAGGGACTCCGAAGGCTGCTAGGTGCAGCAGATCTTGATCCCGGCAAATACCCACACCGGGCCGGTTATGAGGGTACTTGTGCTACTGGAACGAAGAGCTCTGCTGCAAAAAGCCTCTGTCGAGCGTTGTTGTGTGGTGTTCAGGGTGACATGCAGTCCCCCTGACAGGACATAAGACTGTAGGTGTTCAATGCTCGGAAACGGAGCGATCCGTTTTGATTGTTTCTGACGGAGCGTGGCCTGCAGTTTGAGCACTTTCCTGATGTTTCATGGCTCGTAGCAGAAGGGTGGCAGCAGCTGACCTTCAAAGGGAGACTGACTGGCTGCCTAGAGCTAGAGGGCCCGCAGTTTCGCCATGGCTGGCAAAGCGGACTTGGTGCAGCAGATCAAGAACATGCAGCGGGCCGACCCCACGTTCAGACAAACATGGTGGGACTTCTGCGAAGCGCAGCTCGGTGGTGTCCGCGATCCCAATCGCCACGACGAGAGCATCCTGGGCACCTTTCTGCAGCAGTACAACAACGGCGAAATTGCTCCGTCGCCTTTCCGGCCTGAGGAGGACTGGTGGAACAAGGGCAAGGGCAAGGGCAAGAAGGGGGATATGTCCTATAACATGATGCCACCACCGGACATGTGGGGAATGCCTCCGGGCATGATGATGGGCGGAGGCTTGCCTGACTTCGTCAAGACAGGCCAGAGAGCATCTTATCATTGGAGGAATGCTTGGAACATATACTGCGCCTTGTATGGCGCAGGCAAGAACGACCCGGCCAAGCATGAAGAGACCTTCACCCGTGGATTTGTCGATTACATCGGCGAGCTTGCGGCGAATGGTCTTTCTTCCATCGCAGCCTCGCAGGGGATCAACCTCGAGGAGATAGCGCCACCCAACAATGGCAAGGGCAAAGGTCCACCGGGCATGGAGCCAGCTCCGAAAAGATTCCGCTTCGAGGAGGCGGATGGTGCAAAGCTCGAGCTGGTAGAGAAAGTTAAGAACCTGCAGCGGTCCAATCCTCAGGCCAAAGAGGCTTGGTGGGTGTACTGCGATGGCCAGTGCGGTGGGATGCGGGATCCACTGCGCCATGACACTCCCTCTCTGCAGACATTCCTATCCAGTCAGGGAGCACTTTGAGTTCAGGTAGCACTTCGAATTGGCAACCTGCAGAACCGATGATACGAAGCCGCTCGGGTGGAAGGGATAGGTATAAGGTTGCCGTTTTGACGGGGCGCAACATGGCGCATCCGACCAACCCGCGAGAGATAAAGATGCCCTGCTGCGAGTTGCTCTCGTGTGTTTCCCGATGCTTTCTGCAGACCTGGGGACATGTCCAGCTTGTTGTGTCTTGCAGGATGCAGCAGCCCCTCACCATCAAATATATCGACCCGACCCTCAGCTGCAAAGCTTGTGCACGCAAGGGAGGCAGAGGAGGCAGCAACCCGTTGAGTTTGTGGTCCTAGGGGCTTGAACTTAAAGATGTCGTGCAAGCCACAAGGACTTACACCATCCGAGCCGTGCCGGCCAATACCAACGATAGTGTGGCACCCTTTGCAGCAGTGATTCTTGCTCCTTTCCGGCTTGCTCAGCAGCCCATGCAGTCAACATGTGCGAAGCAGAAGTGGTTCAACATTGGCACTTTTCAGGCGAGCCCCCAGTGAATGTGTAAATGCTGTTCCTGTGTGACGTTGGCTGACAGCCGCCACATTGCGGTGTGAGCTTCCAATAGCTTGCTGTTTCGAAGAAACTGTTTGCGATGTCGACAGTCCGAAGAACGTCCTGTAACAGCGCTGCAACAAGTGTATCACGGGTGCACGAAGGTTTCTTGCTCGTGCATCGAAGCGTTTGGTTTGGTCTGGCTGCAGATGCCGCTCTGTCTTTTGTAGTATGGGGTCCCAAGTTGAACCGGAAGGAGCAAAATCTGACGAAGCAATGTTTCGCCTTTGTATCCTTTGGTTTTGTTTGCTGCGCCGGTCATCTGGCGACTTGCTTGTCCCAGGTGTACTGCTCGGTGCTGGGAGCCCATGCAGTGCATGTGGCGATGGCAGGATACACAGGACGCGTAATCTTGAGTGGCAGTGCCAATGCTGCTAATGCCGTCCAACACAGGTACCTTTTGTGGCAAAGGGTCGTGCGGCTCATGTATGCATTACAGCTCGCAGCCTTGGTTGCTGTCTCTCTTTGAACCCACAACTCTACGGCCAGGAGTTGTTGTCGGCAAAGTGGACGAGCGCCACCTGGCCTGGTCGTTGTTGCCAAACCATTCTGCTTTCGCCCGCCTCAGGTGTTGCCGTGTCGGCCTGCATTCCTGTGACAGTTACAGACGCCCCGGCGACGTCACGACATGTCAACGACGAGTCAATACAACCCATCGAGGCTACTGCTCAAAGTCTTTTGGCGCACTCTGCTAGCACCTGGTACGCCAGCGCCTCCCATGTTCGGAGCCAGCCCAACCTGACTTTCGAGTGAAAGCTTGAGAAACCATGACACCTCTACCAGCAAGAGCAAGCATGGTTTGCAGTGGGTCGGTTGCTAGCGTCTCGGGATATCTCAATCTCGGGTCTGCCGATCAGAGCAGTCGGCGGTCGGCTTGACAGTTTAGTTGTCGCGGGGTAATGTGTCGAAGCGAAGAACCAGAAGAAGCCGATCGTGCCCCTTCTTTCGATGTGTCAGTGTGTCAAATGCATCACAGTGCCCAGCGGGTCGAATATCTTGAGCTTGCTGCCCTTATCTCAGGTTTTGTCATGCTGCCAAATCATGCTATCACAAAGGCGCCATTGAGGCAGCGGGATGCAACTGTGTTGAAGATAGCTTTGCTGTGATCATTCCACTCAGAGGCGGGTGGAGCTGAAGAGCTCGATTTTCGAGCGGATGATGGCCACCACGGGTCAGCCAAACCTGGCGTCCCTCGGCACGCATGGCTTTTGTGTCGACTGCGCAACGAGTGCTCTGAAAAGTGTCGAAAGCGACTGAGAGGCCTGGTCTTGGAGACGATTGGGCCTTGCTCCCTTCACCGCCGTCAGAAAGCCCAGTCCAGTTCCTTGGGCCTTCCAGCACCTGGCGCGCGGTATTGCTCCTCAGGCCTCCCAGACCAGAAAAGCCGCCAGTGGAGCCGCCCGGGGCACAGTGTCACAGCTTCAGGGCGGGAGGTTCTTCCGCTAAACTGCTAAACATCAGTTGCGTAGAGGGCTACCTGCCATTGTGTTTTAAAGCTCATCTATACACATAGTATACAGTATATATATATATATATACACACACACACACACATATATATATATATATATATATCTATAACACATAGAGCCCTAGCTAGCAAGGTATGTGTATATGTATGCAGATAGATAGATGCAGAGCCTGTCGTTGCCCAAGCCTGCAAGAGAAAGAAGTGGGTTGCGACCCAGCTCAGCTAGAGATCGAGTAGTCCATGAGTCTCGCGACGGGGAGTTTTCTTAGGGCACGTTGGGAAAGAGCTGGATGCAATTGCTCAGGCCGGAGTTGCTCAGCTTTGCAGAGTGGAACGGGCTCAACGTGGAGGAGGAGCCGTGCCTGGTCCTCCCGGCCTTGCTGCCTACCTATCTACAGATCGTTGAACAGTGTCCCACACGCAGGAGGTTGCGGAGGTGGCAAACCTGGAGATCAAGGACGCAGACCACTCAGCTCCGGACATGCTACCGCAACTGGGGGAGCTTCTCCTCGTCTTGGGACAAAGGTGACTCTGAACACCTTCGATGGCTTCGGAGCCTTTCCCTCAGAAACATCGCCTGGCTTTGCGACACTGCGGCGCGCGGTCTGGGCGTGTTTTCAGGAGATGAAAGAGTCCCGACCACTCCTGCGGAGTGACCTGCTGAAGAGCCACGACGAGGCCCAGGAGCACGAGCTCCAAACCGCGGGTGACTGACAAGGAAGCCGTGCCTTCAGAGGGATCGCATGGAAGCATGTAGAAGCGCATGGCACGCATCATGGTGCTGTCTGGGTGGTCTCGGGGCGCTTGCTTGCTACGGTTTGCCAGTAGCTTTGAGTTACGAATAGATGTGGCGGTATGACCCGCGCCATGTAGGTGCGGAAGCTTGAGATCATGCGCCTGAGTCTGGATCTTAGACGCACTGCCCCGCTGCTGTCCGCCCAGTGGCTTAGCCTTTGTTAGGTGAGATGTGCGCGCCTGCCAGGTGACAACTTCCCATCTGCGGAGGCTGATACCAACCTTGCGCACCTCGCACCTTGCAGATCGCACCGTGAGATGGACTAGCAACTAATGGCCTCATGACCTCAACGACGACAAAGCGCGGTCCTTGCAGGCCACTTCGCCACTGAAGCCGTCTGCGGGATTCCTGGATAACGAATCCTGGACGGTCAGGACCTAATCACACTCCGGCTGCCTTGAACCGAGTCCAAGAGGCGACTTAAGTTGGGTCATTGCGGTCAGTCCATGAAGCTTCTTATGTCATGTGCATTCGCCTGTGATTGTACGACGGCGTTCTTTTAAAGACGGCCGAGACCCAGCAGTGACGAACATATAACCGATCAACCTGCTTATATCCAGGTGTTCACAGGTGCAAGGCAGTGAGGACCGACAGCTCATCTGCAATATGGGATCTTTGAGCCGCGTTGTAGATGGGGGCTGAGGACGACTTTTGTGCCATTTGTCTCAATCTTTCCACGGCCTAGCAAAGTCGTTGTGTTGAATGAAGACTCGTATTGTCTGAGCTGCTGTGCCGGCAAGAATTGCCAGGGTCGGTTGGGTTGCGGGTTTGGGTGCAATCGCCGAATCCCCTAACTTGGCTAAGCAGGATGGAACGGTCATTTCTCCAAACAGTGATCAGTGCCTCCCCCTCTCAGTCCGTAGGGCTTCCAGACACGACCTACCTGGATAAAAGCAAGGCCCAACCCCCTCCAGCCAGCTCGCTGCAGCCCAGCCCACCTCTGGGTGGGGTTGGCTTGAGGATGCTGCAGGAGCTAGTGGAAGTGATGAGTATAAGCTGGGGCAGAGGCGGCGTACGTGCGTGTCGTCTGTACGTTCGAGACAGTGAGGTCGAGGCGATCTCAAGCGCGACCAGGGTGGACTCAGGCCATCGACTGCACCAAGTTTTCGGCGACGCTGCGTGATTCTTGCTTGAAGCGAATGGAAGCTTTGAGCGCCCAACCATTGACGACGCTAGTTCTGCAGTGCTTTTTCCATAGCTGCGTATAGTGCCTAGATTCCGGCCAGAGACCGTTGGCCTAGCAAGTTAACCGTGGCAGGCGTCGGACGACCCTATTACCAGTTGTCACAAGCTCAGGAGATGAAGTGGGTTGGTCCGGTAAGGGCTCTTCAGCCGCGAGCTGTAGCCTTCTCTAAGGATGAGGGCCGGGCCCCGTGAGAAGCTGCATTTCGACCCGCAGGCCGGTGCGTGGCCGGTGCCTACCGTGTGAGAAGTTCCCAAGCCGAGCCCTTTGTCTCCGTCACCCGCGCTGGTCGCTTTTGCGGCTGTTGCGCAACCTTTCGACTGTTGCCATGCTTGTGTTGGATCCGGGTTGACAGGATGCTACAACCTGTGCTGCCATCGTCACTTGTGGTGGCTTGTGTCCGGGAGAGAATGTGGCAATTCGCCCGCTTCCCAAACTTCGCTTCATGTTTGGATCGCTTACACAGGTGCAAACCATATCGAAGATCGTGAGGGCCCACCGGTTTCCTTTGAACCGCAGCCATTGGATCGCCTGACGTAGCGAGAGGGCTTTTGCAGGATTGTCTGGAGCACGATGCGTTGCCTGGGCCTGGTCCTACTGCAGGCCAGCCTTGTGACAGCTCCTCGACTTGTAGCAGCGCACGCTGCGGAAGTCTTTCTCGTGCGTTCGTCTCACGACCGCATATGACAGTCTCATCCACCGCCTGTGCTAAGGTTGTGCTGTGCATGAAGTGCCCGGGCTCTCCATCCTTCATGCACGCTTCGGCTGAGGTGCTTGGGTACAGTTAGGTTTTCAGCAAGTCGATGTGGCCAGTCCCCAAGCGTTTTTGCTTTGTTCGCCGAGCTCAACCAGCAGGTAGTTGCTGTCGCAGATGCGAGCTGCACGGATGTCCAGCAAGAGATGCTGGCAAGAGTGCAATCACCTTCCTGGAAAGACCCGCACAATGCAGGACCGCGTGCACTGTTTACCCAATCCGTTGCACATGCTCACATGAGCTATGTTTCCTGAAAGTGTGTGCCTGGGAAAGACTTGGGGTTGGTGCGGGGGGCAGTGTATTCATAAGGGGCACCTCTGGCGAGGCTCTGGCAGTTGAAGGATTGAGCAGAAAGGAGAAGTGGTATGCGAGGCAAAGTTTGCACACGCGCCATGCGCGAAAGCTGTGCACTTCTTCGGCCCTCTGCAGGTCTTGGTCTCGCAAGTTGATGCAAGTTGTACAATCTCGCACTTACCATCTGCGCCAGTACTTATGTGACTCCCTTCCTTGGCCACTTCCTCGTCCGCTGTTGTGGCTGGGTGCCATCCATCTTGAGTGTAGTGCAGCTGCGAAGTGGGTTGCAAAGTGTGTCTGACTGCCTGTGCATGTCTTCTTGGTGTTGGTCTTTGCCCGAACGCCTTGCGTGCCGTTGTGGATCATCAAGCCATTTTGACTCAAGCCGTGAGTTGTGCTGGGACCCTCGGCTTCCACAGTCACGCCTCGCTTTGCAAAGCAGGCCCAGAAATCCTCAACCCGGAAGCCTGGAGTTCTCTTTGCGCTCTTCCTGCTACCGGCTCCCGAAGATGCAGCGGTCCTGCAGGGTGACCGCGGGGCTAATTCCGTTCCCTGACCCGTTTGTGACCAACTTTGAGAGAGGAGCATCGGCGGCCCAGCGCAAGGGCTCCAAGAACAAGTTTCGCGACTAGAGTGGCGTCTTCTAGCGTCGCCAACTACTACGAAAAAGGGTCACGCCAGTGCCCCGAGTATCGGTGTTCCGTGGACGTAAGAAAGCCCGAGGACAAAGGTGGGGAACTTACCAAGGCGACCGGCAAGAATGTTCCCTCCACTCGACCATGCAGGAGCCCCTCCGCACCACCAGGGACAGCACCCAAAAGGACGCGAAGCCCAACCTCGTCCTCTTAAAAGTACTTCTTTGACTCCGAAGACTTGAGTGCAGCCGCAAGCCTTAACTTTTAAGGGGAAGACCCCTACTGCCACAGAACATCTCCCCTCCACCCACTCAGAAACTTCGGCACCATGCTCCGGAAACAAGCAAGCGAGCCCTACCACTACATGCCGAAGAGCCGATGCAAGGGGACCCACTAACACCAGACCTCGACGCGATCCACCCAGAGTGCTACGAAAGCTCTTCCGGAATTTGAGAACGAGATCAACGAGACTGAGGAAGCCCCCTCGATCTTTCTCCTGCGGATGCCGAGACGACGCACCACAAACCTCCCACCAAAGCGGCAGCCGATGCCAAAGCCGCCACAAAAGCCAGGACAGAATACGGGGAACGGACCGGCCCGATGAACCTGCGGGCTGCCCACCAAGAGAACCTGGCACACTGACCAAGAGATGGCAGACTGGAAGGCGTCACAGAGTGCGAACGGTGGGGCTTTCGCTTCGGAGACAGCTCATGCCAGCGCCGATGACCAGCGGGGCTCGGCAACATCCCAGCATGCAGGATTTCCACAGGAGCCAGGACGGAGCCCTCAAGAAGGGGCCTGTCCTGTTAAATCCTGGGCCAGGTACTCGTTTCCAAGCCTGAGCCGGACGTTAGATTTGATACATCTTAATACCGTAGTTACAACTGTTTCCCTAGCAGCAATTGTGGCTGCTTGTTTGGCTGGGGCAGTTCCTGCTTTCACGCAGATTTCGTATGGCGCTGAACCCCGGATAGGGCCCGTTGGGGGGTGAGGGGGTATGCCCCTTCTCTGCACACAAGGAGTCTTGCAACTGGAAACCAAAATCTGTGAAGATATATGTGAAGATGCTGCAGCCGGAGACACAACAGGAAATCTACAGCCCTCTTAAATAGAGGAACCGTGCATGCGTGCCCTCCTGAAGGGACAGAGTCCTCGCTCGCTAGCCGAGCCGCTAGCCCAGGACGGGAGCGACTTTGAACCAGATACAGAGGATGGCCAGAACCTTGTGGGAGAACCCCAAGTGCAAAAACACACTGCAAACCCAATGCTCCAATTTTCCTGACGGGCCAGGTCGGGCTCAACTTCCGGAGAACGAAGGAAGGCAGCAAGGCAGCAAGGCATCAAGGCAGGAAGGCCGGAAGGCGGAAAGGAAGGAAGCGAGGAAGGAAGGAAGGTGGGAAGAAAGTCTTGTTGTTGCATGAATCAGCCAGCCAGCACGCAAACCGCAACAAATGCAGTTGCACTTCGGAATCACATCGGGGTTTGGGTTGTGGTGCAGATGAGCGAAGCTAAACCCAATTACGCGCGACACGTACAATTGACTATCAAGAGCAACCAAACAAGATGCAGAAGGGTGTGCTGGGAATCCATTAGACCATGAGAGCACGACCTGGGCAACTGACCATGTGCAGGTCCAGCGTGTCGCGTCTTGTCCATGTGGAAGCTTTCGTTTGGTGCGCGCGTGCATGCATCGCTCCGTGCGCACGTGTGCGCCTGGCGACTTTAGCATGAGGTCGTCTTCTGTGACTCTTTTTGCCTCTCAGTTGCACGAAGCTCTTGCGTGTGCCCTTGCCTTGAGGAACCTACAAGGTTCTGCCAAGCAGGTCGAGCAGTCAGTTGGACGCTTGCCGAAATTGGCTGCCAAGCACATCCATATTACAGGTACCATCTCATCGTGGGTCGTAGGCGAAGGAAAGGGCCTGCTGACCCGGAGCAGTCTTGCTCACGGCCGAGGCGTTTTCACGCCTCACGGGCGACAGGAAATATACTGACAAGATGATCATTACCCTGGCCGACACCGGTGGAAAGTGCATGCACCCTTGCTACCAATTTATCATTGCACAGGCATGTAGAGGCATATTCCACTGCATCTCTTGTCCCCCACCGTCACTGCCGCTTCCGCAACTGCCCTGGGGCCCCAGTTCGTCCCAAGGATTATGGGATGTTCGGAGTCGCAAGTCTTCTCGTTCATCGACTTCTCCACCAACTACTGCAACCTGAGGAACCTACTCCGGGTTGTGATGAGCCACGTTCGCAAGCCGCATTTTGATGCATTCTTGGTGTTCCCTGCGGCAGGAACCTATACTGCTCCTCAGAGGAGGACGGTTGTCAGACTGTGCGCCTTCGCCTGGATTTGAGTTTCCGAACTAGGCTGCGCAAGACTCGTATCCGTGCTAACGAAAAAGTTTGACCAAGGAAGCATGCATTCAACGTAGTGGAGTCGAAGGTGACGCCATCTTTAGGCGCGGGGTCGGATGCCAAAAGCTGCATCACTGTGAAGGTCCAATGAGACCCTTCGATTGCGAGGGCTAGCGACATGTTCGGATTACGGCCGAACCCACCAACATTTCGGAACCGGAAACTTCGGGTCCATGGAGTTGCATGCGAGCGAGCCACAAGCGCCCGCTCCGACCCTCTAGGAGCATCCGAGTGCGGCTGTGCAAACACTGCGTTGGCAGCGGCCGGCGGAACCACTTGTTGGGTTCTAAGCCGAGATTAGATGAAGTGCTGAGGTGGCCTCTTCCAGAGGCTGAAAGCTTACGGGGCAAGCCGTGCCTGTTATCCTGAGCGGAGCTCGCGACTGTCAGACTGTGCTTCAGGGAACTTCATGGTCATGGCAGGTCCCAAACGTCTTCGGAGTGAAGTCTGGCTTTGGCGGCCTCCCAGAAGAACAGAACTGGCTGGAGCTCACGCCGGAAGTGGTGCAGGAAAGCACCTTCGGTCGAAGTCGGCCTTTGAGCACGAGTCGAAGAGTGCGCCAACTCTGCAGGACATCCACAACAAAGGTGGCACCGTTCTCGAAAGCGAGCGCGGCAATGCCAGGACCTCAGTGCGGACAGCACATGCAGAGTGTTGGCTAACATGAGACAGTAACTGAAAAGATGACGGTAAAGAACAGCGGTTAGGGCCGGGTTGTGGGTACCTCGTGTTTTACGATATGGAAGGCACGGGTTGACGGAGCTGTGTGGTAGGCAGATAAAAGATTGACATTGCAGTACAAGACTCAAAAACAGCAGCTTCCAGAGTCTCCAACTCGCCATGCTTATGTCCACCGTACAACTGCTCGGTAAGACAGACAGCGAGACTGATGAAGAGTGACATGCTGGGGCACTTCGTGAACGGGCTCATACTGAAATAGGCAGCATGCAGGTGGGGTAGTGCGTCCAGTCAAGCGGACTGTCGTGATTGCGCTATCCCCACCTTCCCCGCAACCGAGAGTGTCACCCCTATCTTGTGGCTAGTGATTGCGCTATCCCTACCCATCCAGTAAGCTAGAGTCTCGTGATTGCGCCATGCCCACCCTTCCCCTAACCGAGAGTGTCACCCCTGCAACCCCAGGCTAGCTAAGTCACTTTTGTAGTACGCTATCCCCACCCTCTCAGTAACCGAGAGTGTCACCCAGGGTTCGTCACTCTCGTGATTGCGCTATCCCCACCCTTCTCATAACCTGGAGTGTCACCCCTATCCGATGACTAGGTCCGTCACTCTCGTGTTTGCGCTACCTGCTGAAGCAACCATTGGCCGTGAACAAATTCAATTCTTCATCTGGAGAAGCTACATGCACTTTTACTTGTTTTTGTCGGCAGGCTTTCGTCAGTGCTTGGGGATGGATATAATCTCGCTTCGCAGCATATCGACATGCATGACAAAGGCAGGTCTCTCGCTTGGCTTCGCGTTGTGTTCCTTTTTGCATAGTAATTTGGTTCCGTTGCTCTGCTGCAGGTTTGCAATTGAGTTTTTCAGGGTATGCGATTGTACGCGTGATCTCCCTTCATTGTTTCACAGACTTCACTTCAGGCACGACATGCTGACATGGCTGCCATGCTGCAGACGTTGGAGACCTCAGCTATGAGGAGAGCAGTCCAGGGATAGGCGTTGGGAGCAGGGCTGACCGGCTGCACAGAAGGCGAGTCAGTGAGTCAAAGGCGGCTGCCATGCCAGTCGTGAAACGTTGCCATGACCTGCTCATTCCCATGTCCGTCAAACTTGCTGCCAGGCGACCCAAGCAGACTTGGAAGACCATGCCAGACATTTGTGCCTAGGCGAAGATGCAAGCAGCTCTTCATCCTGGGCGGTGACGGTGCGCACAAGGGTACCCTCCAGCTGGCTTCTGTTGCCTGGCTGAACTTGAGTCCCGTTTAATCTCGCGCCCCGCGGATCCAGCTGACCAGCTTGCCCGCAACTTGTCCTTTTGCGCGGAGGCTTTGAAGGCGATTGACCACGAATGCGCATTGGCCGGGGGCTCGGACAGACTGTGTTTGTGCGTTGCGATTGCCGCACGTTGTCCTTTGCAGAGGTGCCCAGTTAGCAGTATACAGGGGCCTTGTCTGTTTCGCCTGGTTGGTCTCTGGGGGGCGCAGTGCCACGTGGCGTGGAAATCCCATTTTGATCTGATACCTGTACGAGTAGGTGCAGGTCAGTTCCATCACTGAGGTTGCCGTCCCCAGCACCGTGGATAACGACCTGGCCATGGTAGACACCAGCTTCGGCTTCGACACTGCTTGCACGGAGGTGGGGGTGGGGGGAGCCGTAGCAGAGCCGAGGCCACGAGCTGTGTGAAAGTCGCACCACGCAACCACAAAGAGTCTGTCAGGCTCGCGACTGTGTTCAAGCCGCGTACGTCGAGGCTTCAGCCAGCTGGCATAGTAAAGACCATGTAACGACCCATAGACTTGAATTATAGTGAAAGACGATAAAAGACAGTCTCCGAAGGATGTCGCCACTTGTCTTGTGCCAGGCCACGTGCAATGCCAATTGCATTGGATTGGCCAGGGCCTTTCCTGAGTTCACCGGGGACTGCCGAAGGTGGTTCTCGAGACTCAAGCGTGACGCTGGCGTTTCGTTCCGAGGTGAAGCTCCTTGGCTTGGGAAGCGGTTTCTTGGCCATGAATGCAACCATGGCAGCTCGAAATGTCGATTTGTGCCTGCTACTCGGTTACCGGAGGCTTAGGCTGTGTGTCCGGCATCCAGTGGAAGAAGAGACTTAGGCCTCTTGCCAGAAATGGAGATTGATTTGGAGAAGGCCCGTGTCCGCAGAGAGCATACAGATCATTCTATCATTGTTTCTGCCTGCGTCGTTGTTCCACCTTTCGCGGGGCAGGTGCTCGCTCACTGCGAAAACGTTATGGCTACCAAGGGCTACGCAGTCATCGTCGTGGTGCCCTGAGAACCAACGGATTGGAATCAGAACCGACGGTCGCCTCTCTCCCAAAAACTTCAGCCTGGCCCTAGAACTTGTCGGCTGTCGAAGCTCTGTATAGGTCGCGGATGGTGCCAAGTCGTCACTCTTCCGGCGGGCAGGTGTGGCCACGGAAGGCCATCTGGATCACGCGAAAGTGTCCCAGGACCGTGACGGCGAATCCAGTGATGGGCAGGTGACGTGGGCATTTGGCTCCGAGACCAAATCCTCGCCCGCTTCAAGGAGAAGAGCCGGCCCCTGACGTGAGACTCTCAGGTGCGGCCAAGGGGTCTCTTGGTAGGGCCTTGCCTCCCGATAATCACCGTGCAAGCAGTGCAAGCATGTGCCAGACTCTGAAAGCCGTGAATGGCTGTAAGGATCAAATACATCGATCCAACGTATATGGCTTTGGGCTCAGCTCGTGCTCACCGTCGCTTTCTGCCTGACCTCCGGTTTCCATGGATGCCTGACGAGGGATTTCCCCCCGCTGGAGGAAGGATAGGCATGAAACGCTTGTCTTGCCCCAAGGTGCGCTCTGTGAAGGCAAATGCATACGACAGCTCCTATTGCGCGGCACTTGCGGACCTCTGCTGGTTGAGATGTTGCCGTTGGGCCAGATCTACGGCGGAAGAGGCCGTGTGCTATTAGCAGAGCTCGGAAGGACCATGCGGTGCATGCGGCGATGGCCGGGTTCACCTGCGTCTCTGTGGCTCGGAGCTAAGGCGTTTGCTTTCTAAGTCTATCTTCGCTAGTTCACTTGCACTGAGAGCTCCCAGGTGCGGACCTACATGCGATATGTCTACCTGCCGATCCATGCCTGCCAGCATCTGAGCACGTGGGGCATGTATCAGCTTAAGGCGATGTTGGGGCAATGCGACCGATGCATACCGGCTCAGCGAGGCGTGACGCACCCGAAGCGAGTGAATCCTTTGGGCCGTTGGTTCGGGCGGATGGCCTTCTCCACGGGACAGCCGCGATTTGAACCCGACGGTGCGCCGCACACGTGTGCATCGCTGACTCTTTTGTGAAAGTCATTCTGCTCGAAAGAGCCCTCAAAGGTCATAGGCCCGAGAAGGCAACGAAATCTCACCCAGCACCTGGATGTCGAAGCTTTTCAGGCTTCGAATACGCCGCAATGCCGGATCAAGCCGCAGGCCACATTCAATCAGCGAGTTGTGGCCTCGCATCACTCGACACTTCGTTGCACACCCTCTGTGCCAGACTTGAAGAAGATCTCCACGCCCATGGTTGGAGCCTAAGTGCAGAAGCGTGGGATCAGTGTGGAATGGTGGAGCCCCGAGGACATTGCAGCGATTCTGCCTTCCAGCTCAGCGATCAGCCGCCTTGAATGTGGGGTGCTCTGATAGCTAACACCGTTGTAACACAGTGAGGATTGAGGAGGGGACTACGATGAAGTGCAAGGCAGAATGCCCACAGGACTAAGACGTATATACAAGGCTACGGGTCGTTCGGCAGCTAGAGCCGATTAGAGTTGAAAGCTCGTGCCGAGGTGTCAGTCTGTGTGAGAAGTTCCCGTCCAAGAACGTGGACAACCCCATCAAAGGCACCAGAGTGGCAGAGAAGGGCTTGAAGGATCAACCCTCTGAAAGACTGAAATTTTTTTGGTGATGGGGGGGGCAAGGCACTGTCAGAAACTCCAGCCAAACTTCCCTCTTCCGAAGACCAGGGCTTGAGGGCTTTAGGGTTTAAGAGGAGCAAGAACTTGAGAACCCTCCTTCGAGCGGAGGTCGGGCATTGGCCAAACCACCATGTTTCAAGCCGAATTGAGGTTTAGCAAACCAGCGAGTCGAGAAAGTGGGAGGTTTAGCACGAGCACTCATCTTGTTGTCGAAAACAGGGTTCAGCGAACCCTGCTGTTTCGAGCCGAGAAGGGGTTTAGTCTAGTAACCCCCCCCTTGCAAACCACAGTTCTCAAGCCGAACTGAGGTTGGCCAAAGCCGCGAACCCCAGTCAGAGAGGATCGGCGCGCAGAGAAACATGAGTGCTTCCGGAGCAGAGTTTCCAGAAAGCAACGAACAACCCAGCAAGAAACGACCGTGCCGAGGTAAACCGAAAATCGGTATGTTTACCAACCCCCTCCGCCCCCCCGCGCAATAATTATCCTAAGCCCCCCAATCCATCCAGGCTGGTAAGTTACTCAAGTGTTTTTCTTTTCTATGTTTGAGCAGCTGCCGGTTCCGATTGTTTTGCAGGTAAGCAGTTTCCAAAAGCGGGATCCGCCCCGCTTGGCGAAAAACATGAACGTTGTGAGCAGCCACTTCCAAGCCACTGCACAAAGCCACGACATGTTTCGGGCGGGGGTCCCCGAGGGGTTAAGGCATTCCTGTTTCGTATAAATCAGCCGAAAATGCTTTGTGGGGGAAGGAGATAGGAGGAGAGGATCTTGAAGGATTTTTGAGGGTTCAAGACCAGCTGCGATGCAGGTGCTCTGGCCGAAAAATCGCGCTGCCCCGAGTTTGCTCCGTTTGTGCAGTCGCTTCCATGACGTCATGACCCTTGGTGTTTCTTCACTGTTATGGACGGTCGCCTGTCATATGAATCATATGCAGCCTGCGGGCCTACCGCGCAAGTCAGGTACCGAACTCTGTTCGTGCAGTCAGACTGGTTTACGACACAGTCCCGGCCCCAACTAAGAAATCGCCGAGATCGGTGTCTGTGTGATGACGTCGGTTTCGTGTGCATTTGCCTATCGAAGCAGGTCTTTCGATCGCTCCGGCGCAGCTGATTGTGCTCCACGCACCTACCTTCAGCCTCGACCTTGGCCTGCGTTCGAGAATGCAGTCCTGTTCTCAGCTCCATGCCTCATGCGACGTGCCCTGCAGCTGTCCGATGCAGGTTTCAGCGGACCGGGCCATCCCGCGAGATCCACTTTGATCCGAAGGATACGGAGGCGGTCTGTAGCCGGCCCACCGTATTGATTCGAGTGGGCAAAAGCTTCTTTGACTCAGATGGCGGCCGCCATTGTCACTTGTGGTGGCTTGTGCCTTTTCCTCAGAAAAGCGCAACCTTCTGCGGGCTGCTCTTATGGCTGTCTTCTTCAAGCCGATGAAGTTTGCAGGGCATGATGTTTCTGCCTCCTTTCTTTTCCCGTCTGTTTCATCTTGTGCTTTGTGCTGATCCCCCCCCACTCCTCGCAATGAAATTGGAGTTTCGCCGGCTCACCGGCTCCTCGAGCTCCGGGCTTTGGGCTTTGTGAAGTAACTGCTTTCCCGCGAATGGCACTCCCGATTCCATTTCAAACTTTCCCAGATTTAGGGCCAGGAAGTATTCTGAAAAAAAATCTGGCTAACTATTTCTTGTCGAGTCCCTTGCACTGTGAGGCCCGGGCTTGAACAACGTCATCCGTGAGATCGTGATGATGTGCTTTGCGTGCCCTTGCTTCATGCTTTCTTGGTGGGTTCTCCGAGTTGTGCGATGCAAAGGTATGGAATGAAAAAGGTCTACGGCATCATTGGCGGCTTCAAAGGCTGTGTTGAAGATGACAAGTGGGTGGGACACTCAGTCCTAGATCACTGTGCAGTGTGAAGCTAGCCGCTAGCCTGCTGCATGTGTCAGCAGGTCGAACTCACTCCGGCCACGGTAGCAGCCCTGGTTACGCGTGAGTCATGCAGCTTCGGTGGACCCGCGGTTTTCCACAGCATCACCCGGTCTTCTCAGGTGGAGAATATTCACAAGCTTGGTGGCAGCATCCTCGTGTCCGATCGAGGAAATCCACCTCACTCAGAGATCGCAAAGGCCGTCCGCAGCCGGAGTTTTTTACCTGTCCTTATTTCGCTGGCGAACTAGTCACTATCGGCTGCTGAAGCTCTGGCTGACTTTGACTATATAAGTCTAATTGAGTGATTACGTCTTGAAGCTTACATGTGCAAATTTCCGCTGCCCGGCTCAAACCGCAAGCTCTTTTCCCCATATTCTTCTGCAGTCATGGAGTCTTGGCTGTGGAGATTTGGGGATTTGATGGGATTGGCGTGTGCCTGCCATCATGATAGGCTTCGGATGGCTTCGGGAGCTATAAAGCTGGAAGGAACCCAGCGGATGTTGTGTTCAAGCCCCGTGCGATCCCAGCCTTGCACGTGACTAGCCCTCCGGTTACTTACCCACGTGGTTGCTTTGGCAGACTCTGGCAGCGGGGCTGCGAAAACCTCGTGCTCTTCATTGTAGGCGAGAGCAGGTACAGACATGACGAATCAACACGCCGTCTCAGCCGTGGTACACGAAACCACTCGATCGGTGCCAATGTTTTTATGCAGCGGAAGAACGCTCTGTTACGACGTCGGCAATGTTCCGAAAGTGCCCTCCTCCCTCCTTGATAACGGTTTAAACATCTGACCATGGAGACATTCAACTTAAGCCTTGATATGTCATATGCCGGAAGTCTTTTCCCAGCAGGAGAGCCTGGCTTGCTGGACATCGGGCTAGTCATACCGGTCAGCACGACGGTGCTCTAAGTTCTTGTCGATGTGGGTGCATTGGCATGCTTCAGACTTCAGCCCACATCATCTCACGCGTTTGTTAGCTTCAGAGCTTCGACTCGGTGGCGCAAGCGCCAGCCTGAAAAGTGCCTCGTGTTCACCTTGCTATTCCCAGCAGCCACCTTCCCAAAAGCAGCTCGAGCTCTGCCTCGCAACTCTCGAAGTTTCAGGGGCGAAGCGAATCTAAAGTGTGCCTCGCTGCCAAGGAGTCTTTGGGGTGTGGGAGACCTGTTTGTATCTTGGCTCCAATGGCTTCTCTTGCAAAGCCCCGGCCCGGGCTGGCGCCCGGGGTTTTTGGAAGCCGAGGCGTACTCGGTTCCGCAGAGACGACCGAGAAGTGTCTGGTACTTCGGAATCTATTTTTATCTATTTTTGCTTTTGCCACACTCGGATGCTGTTGGGGTCTCCTGCGAAGGCAACTGCGCACGCGGTTTTGGAGCCAGGCCTGAGTAGGGAGGGGAGCTTGCGGATCGGCAGCTCAGCTGAGCACATACTTGTTAACAGGCATGCAGCATATTCTGTCAAGCTCGCGTTTACGGGTGTACCTGCTGAGGCAGTGCTGCCGACCATTTCGAAAACTCAGTGCGACAGTCCTTGCTATCGCTCCAGAAAGAGTGCTCAAGCCGCACTGGATGAGCTATTCTGGCGACATGTCCTGTCCACGAAGCTACTCGTAAATCTTCTACGTCGCAGGGAAGACGGTGTGCAGACTGGCTGGCACTCGTGTGGTGCGTGCCTGTGAGGATTGTGAACCACCACAATGCCGCGTACTCCGTTCTCCTGCAGGAGAAAGAAACCTTGAGGAGCTGAGCTTGAGTAGCAGCATTCACCAGACTGGACATTGGCGGCCTTGCTGCAGGCAAGAGCTCGATGAGATCAGCAGCTTGAAGCACGGCCAGCAGGCGTCGTGCAGGGTGCACAGGGAGTGTGTTGGGTATGCAGCTACTGATGTATTGGAAATGCTTCGGGCTCACCTGCACCTTGAATCTCTGCAAAGTTCGGCCGAGCTTGTAGCACGGAGGTCGTCCTTGGTGCTTTCACATTCTGGAAAAGGGAGGCGGATGAAAAGACGCACTAATGTGGGAAAGTGCTCCTTCGGTTCGGCTGCTTGGGTCATGCGGAAGGAAACCCTGCAAAACCCGACGGACCGGGTAAGCTTTGTGGCGGCCCGGCAGCCTGGCCGCGTCTTTCCCGTTTGCTATGTAATGTACTTTTGCATCGGCAAAGAAAAAAGGCCACGGACTCTGGTGTCTCCGTTATCCTGGGATCAGCACGGCTCGGATAGACTGAAAGGAACTTGGGACCGGAGGCCTTTCCGTGGCGGTACTGTGCCGTGCTGGTATCCGAACGGGTGTAAGTCCGGTCCGTGTTGCGTGAAACAAGACACAGTGAAAGAAGCAGCGGTCAAGCAAATCAGCAGGAGATGAGAACTGCCCAGTCATATTGTAGAGAGGATCGTGAACAACGGCAGAGGGTGAGCATTTCTGCGGGGCACATTCGCTCCGGCGCGATCTTGCGTGATGCTCTCCTAAAGACGTGAAGTGTGCAGCTTGTGCTTCTCCAGGAGCCTCAGGGCAAAGATGAGGAGCCTCCGATGGACATTGATTCGATGATCCGCGTTGCAGTGCAGGGCGAGGAGCTGGGATTCCGAATAGAACCAAGCAGCTCTGTTTGTGCTGTGCCTCCCAATCCACGCCAGTCTCGCAGCAACAGGGTGTGGCAGCATCTGTGGCTGCTGCTCTAGCTCCTACTGTGTTCGCTATGACTAAGCATAGCTGCGGCAGAACTGTAGTGTTTCGTTGTGTATCCAGCCGGGAAGTGGTGTCAGCTGAAGTGTCGCCAGGATGGTCGGAGCCAGCATAGCCAGCAGGATGTGGTCTCAACTTGCTCGAAAGTTTCGAACGAGCGCGCCATACACAACTGGGCCGCACTCATTTTCAAGGCGCCGTGGCTCGTGATACCGTTAGACAAATCATCGCATGTCGAGTCAGGGGTAGGGAGAGTTTTAACCCGCAGAGGTTGTCCAGAGTCTAGCAGCGCCTCCCAAAGCTATGTGATCCACACATCTCCGGACTTAGGCATCCTCAGACTTCAGGCTGGCAAAGAGAATGCAAATGCCGCATGGCTGCAAACCCTTCGCGGGCCTAGAGACTTTCGGATTTTCACTTCCGTAAGGGAGCCTGCCTCCATAGTTAATTGCTCTCAAGCCCTGCTCGCAGTCCGTCGGATCCGGCACTGCAGCTGCACCCACTGTGGCTGGGCCCTTGGTTGCCAGCGACGGCACCAAAGGCGAAGCCCTTCGAACCTTTCATACCAAGGCTGGCCAAGCAGCAGACAAAGCAGGCCGGCAGTGAAAGAGCGGCCCAGGCCCAGGTCCAGGCATCCCGACCTTGGACAGGCGGGCTTCGCAGCTGCCTCGAACCTGCGACTGAACATCTCCACGGCGCTGAAGTCCCTCGAAGTGTTCTCATCGGCTTGTAGATTCCACGTTCCCAATTCTGCGAGTATTCCGAAGCTTCGAGTCTGTCAGGACTGGTGACCGCCGAATGGACGCCAGCTCATGCCTCCAGCCCTACATCATGCACCCTGACAATTTGTCAGCCTCCTTTGCCCTGTAAGCTCCCACCAGAGCCTGTCCCGCCAACAGCTTGAGCCTGTTCAACATCTCAGCTTGCACGACGCACAGCTGAGGAACCCTTACGGTGCCAAACGGCTTGGATGGGGACTTCTGGGTGTCGTGATGATCCTTTGGTACTTGGTCGTGCTTCCGGCAGAACAGAGACAATGTCTACGAGTCTACGATTCAGTCGTGTGAGAAGCGTCACAGGCTGTTCAGCGGCTCAGGTGATCCCTTTGACCGTCTTTGAGCTGGGACGATTTGAGGGTGTAGTGGACGTGATGGGATATATTACCTTTTCCTATTGGTTCCTGGATCTTGCAGGCCCCCGAACTGGCTGACATCGTCTCATTTCTGCTGAGCATGTTCTTCTTGCCAGGGTCTTTCTTGGTGGGCAGTGACATGGAGGGCACGCTGGAGATGCGGCCAGGGCCAATTGCCGTCGGGCGTGCCGGATGCAAGTCCTGTTCTTCCGGCCGCGCGGACGTTCTTCCTTCTCACTCCCAGCCCTCAAGGTATCTTCGAACGTGGTTCTTTCCAGACCTACTGATCATCATTCTCGACGTGGTGTTGTTCATAGTGACCTCGCGACTTGGCACAACCGGAACAGTGACATTGCCAGCAGAATCGCCTCTGCCGGATCCGAATTTTGGAAGCTAATTGGGGAACGGCATTCGATAGGGGTGAAGGCTTGTGTTCCAATGCTTTCATTGGTCCACGAAGTGTCCATACGCAGCTGCCATCCGTCGTGTTGCTCCTCCTCGATCGTTCTCTGATGAATGCTTGTTCCTTCACATACACGACGGCCGCACGGCCTCGTCCGCACCAGAAACGGAACACTTGAGGTTCAGGTTTCACGTGCTTCAGGTTGAAGCTGACTACTGCTGCCGTACTCTCAAAACAGTGTGGTGCACACTATGGAGTTCTTGCACTTGCACTAGAATTGCCCGCTACGGTGCGTGCATATGCTGCGATCACGTCCTATTTAAAAAGCCAGGCTCGCTGCAAATTCTAGTGCGTTACATGGTCTACCCTTTGGCCTCGAAATCTCCAAGCTACGCCAGTGTTTGAGGGAAGCATCTTGGCCGGCCTCCTGAATCCCGCCAGTACTTGATGGAGGGTGTGGTGGTCAGATTGAATCTGCCAGTACATGGGCGGAAGCATGTTTGTGCCAGTACATGGGAGGAGCATTGTGGTCTTGCCTGCGAATCCCAACAATAGAAACAGTTTGGCCCTGACGTGCAGGGTCTCCTCCTGCTCCTGGTGGTTTCATATTAGTCTCTTGGTGGTCGTAGTGGTCGAGTGGTCGTTGTGCAGGTCCGTGGTCTTGTCCTGGTCGTCACGGTCGTCGTGGTGTCTGAGTCTATCACAACTTGCGGATCTGCTCCGGCATAACTTTTCCAACGCGTCCCTTTTCATGCGGCAGTAGGCAAGCGGCGAATGTTTTTGCATGGACCTAAGTAGGCGAGCCAGTGCTCGTACCGGCACGGTCAAATGCATCAACTGTGCAAGCGTGGAGGATGGCCAGCGAAAACGATGGTGCAGAGGCTGCAGAGACATTTCGTATTGCACGCGGCCTCCGATGCTCGGCAAATTCCGGTTCAAAGTGGATCAGTGGTACTTTGGGGATGTATCATATGTTGAGC